ATCTCGATATCCAACTTCACTAGTTCTTTTGTAAAAGTGCAAATATTGTTTCACAGAGAGAGTTGAGATAAAGAGAAGGGGTCTGCCAACCGCCCTCTGGATCGACATCAGAGAAAGGGCCAATAGTGATGTGGTGTGGTGCAGATGATTGCAGTGCTGATTCAGCTGTGCTTAGAAACCAGAAACCAGAGCGACCCTCCATCCCCCAGCCTCTTCCTAAAACCATATTCTGTCAATTCTCTCTTTAATCCCACTCGACCTCTTTGAATGCCGCATTCACACAAGCCCCCCACCCCACTGACTGTCTTCCCTATAGGTCAACCCATGGACAGGATCATTGCGGCTCACCAACACTTCTGTCTCTGAGTTAGGTCAGATCCACGTGTTCAGTGCTTAGAAGATCCCCTTGTTGAACGTCATTTAAGCTCAGTGTGTATGAACCCCTATGATCACACTGTAGACTCAAATCTCAAAACCTGAGGATAGAAAACCAAGTATCTCCAAATGACAATCAAGCATCATTAAGCTTGCCATAACTGAAGCTAGAGCCTGAATATCCAACAGGAAATTACACTCAATTTCAAAGGGATGTTTTATTTATAAATTTTTTTGGGGGGGTTTCCCAGTGTGAAATCCAGCTGTTTGGCTTTTAAAATAAGTAGTAGGCTATACACTGGTAAAAATTTTACTTTCAAAAAACTGCATCAGAAAACTCTTAACAGGTCCAACTTAAAGCCAAGAGGAGAAATACTGCAGTGATGCATCTTGTGTGGCATAAATGGGAATTTATATAGCATATCTAGTACTGACTAATTTCTGCCAGGCCACATCATTCATCTTTTTAGGTTATATAAAATGTGTTCCTGCAATAACCAAGCAATGCAGAAAACAAGCAGCCATACAGGCTTGTGGGTTTCTTAATCTGCATTCATCATCCACTTAAATGCTTCCATTGTGTATCTTGAAATACCAAACACAAGAGAGTAACTTCGCAAGTACTTTTCCACACTCAGGGACATTATATGAGTGATGGAGATCATGACAACATGAGACAAAGGGATTTTTCTATGACAATAAGGAGCACTATCACTAAGTGAACTGATAGTGCTATACAGATGGAAAAAGACTGACACCTAGTGGCTCATATAAAACACTATCACAACATTATTAAATAAGAATAAAAAACATGACTAGAATCATCTTTATTGTGTTTAATCAATTTTGTCATGTTATCCTACATAGAAAGTCACTTTGAAGATCTTTTAGCCCCCCATACCATACCCTCCCCCCATTATGTTCACTTGCACATAAGATATAAATATATACTAATATGTACCTTCATACACCAACATACAAACTAAAATATAGATATAAACACAAAATACATATATAGCAAAAGAAAAAATAGGGTTTATTTTTATGGCTGTACAGCAAAGCAATACAACTTTTAGTAATTAAATATATTTACTAATGGAAATTAATTCAAAGTATATAGAAGTTAGAAAGTGAAGCAAGGAATGATAAATAATTTTACTTCTCAGCAAATATGTGTTATTGATATGTATGTTTAATAATCTATATCTGATTTTTTATTTTATTCTTTTTTTTTTTGGGGGGGGGTCAAACGCTTAATAATATCATGGCATATTTTCTTAAGTTTGTCTGGTTTTCATTTTAGATTATATATATTTTCTTGCTGGGGATATAGGAGGTTAATTAATTAGACTAATTAGTCTTAGTTTTAGTGAGTAGTGTAAAACAATAAAAAAGGGAAAAAGGGAAAAAAAAAAAAGGATCCTAGCAAATGGAGAAAAACTGACAAACCCAACAAATGTTTTCACTACACAGAGATGTTGAGGTCTGATTTATTCTTTTGTATTGAAAGACACAACAAACAACACTTTTATTAGCTCATTTTATTAGGATCATTTCATAAAGTGCTTTTTGATATAAAAGTTCCACATCCTATTCTTCACCTTTGACCCACAAAATGTTGAAAAACTATTACGGTACTACCTTTGGTTAAATTTTGGAATCAAGTTATCTGCAGAGGTGGGTAGAGTACTCAAAAATCTTACTTAAGTAGCACTAATTCATCATAGTTTTACTCAAGTAAAAGTAAAAGGTAGCCTTTACAGAAATTACTCAAGTAAGAGTAAAACAAGTACTAGGTAAGAAGGCTCCTCAAGTACTGAGTGACTGATCTATTTACTACCCATGCTCTTAACAACAGATTTAATATTCTTTAAGGTATAAAAATTACAAAACTTAATAGTTACAGTATGTCAATAATTACAATATACTGTTTACTGCATTATCACTCGACCACTAAATGTTGCAAACTCAGCAAAGGGAGAAATATAATTTAACCAATAAGCTTTAAGAATAAAAAATAATAAAGCATGTTTCTCAATTTCTAAGTGACGTTACTAACAATGGATGGAGTAGCCTCAAATTATACTCAAGTAAGAGCATTGATATTTCATCATGTTTACTCAAGTAAAATAGAAAGTATAATGCTGTAAAACTACTCCTAAAAGTACTTTTTTTTTTAAGTAACTGAAGTAAATGTAACTTGTTACTGCCCACCCGTCGGTGTCAGTTGTACAGCATAGATCCCTTCCTTATTGCTATTGAAACAAAGGAATTCAATGACTGCTGTACCCTGTGACAGCTTTCCATTTATACATTGAGAGCTAAAGTGGTAACCTACTGTACTAACATAGTCTTTTTAACAAACCTTTCATGATCTGGAATACAAATGCATTTCTTTTTATCTCAAAGGTTTGTTTCCCTTATAATTCATTTTTTCCTAATGTAATTCCTAACAAAATTGCAGAATTTTTTTTTTTTTGAAGTTGATACAAATAATTATATTAAAAAAAACTCACAGACCACAGAAACTGTGTAACACACAAAGGAAGCTTTTGTGCAAATATTTTTAAGAAATATATTTTGACACAACTCCAAATATAATAAGTGAATTAAAATCTCTATATTTTTTTTAAATGAGCTTTTTGGACCCTTTTCCAAAAAAAGATTAATGTATTCAGTAGGTTAAGGAGTGTGGTATTATTTAACAAGATTTTGGTAAGATTATTTTGTGCCTTGAGTATTTTTGAAAAGTGAATGTGGTCGAATCAGTTTCTGTAAACTGTCTGAAAACAAAGCAGCTCCATTTTTTGGGGTGAAAATTGGGAGAGAAAAAAAAAGAAATACATTTAAGGTCAAAAACTGTAAAACTCTGGAAAAAGCCATCACTCTTGAAATGACATGAAATGGTCAAACAGTTAATTACTCCACACATGAATCCACCTCAAGTTATAATGGTAACATACATATGTGTGTGTGTATATATATATATATATATATATATATATATATATATATATACACTCACCGGCCACTTTATTAGGTACACCTGTCCAACTGCTCATTAACACTTAATTTCTAAGCAGCCAATCACATGGCGGCAACTCAGTGCATTTAGGCATGTAGACATGGTCAAGACAATCTCCTGCAGTTCAAACCGAGCATCAGTATGGGGAAGAAAGGTGATTTGAGTGACTTTGAACGTGGCATGATTGTTGGTGCCAGAAGGGCTGGTCGGAGTATTTCAGAAACTGCTGATCTACTGGGATTTTCACGCACAACCATCTCTAGGGTTTACAGAGAATGGTCCGAAAAAGAAAAAACATCCAGTGAGCGGCAGTTCTGTGGGCGGAAATGCCTTGTTGATGCCAGAGGTCAGAGGAGAATGGCCAGACTGGTTCGAGCTGATAGAAGGGCAACAGTGACTCAAATAACCACCCGTTACAACCAAGGTGGGCAGAAGAGCATCTTTGAACGCACAGTACGTCCAACTTTGAGGCAGATGGGCTACAGCAGCAGAAGACCACACCGGGTGCCACTCCTTTCAGCTAAGAACAGGAAACTGAGGCTACAATTTGCACAAGCTCATCGAAATTGGACAATAGAAGATTGGAAAAATGTTGCCTGGTCTGATGAGTCTCGATTTCTGCTGCGACATTTAGATGGTAGGGTCAGAATTTGGCGTCTACAACATGAAAGCATGGATCCATCCTGCCTTGTATCAACGGTTCAGGCTGGTGGTGGTGGTGTCATGGCGTGGGGAATATTTTCTTGGCACTCTTTGGGCCCCTTGGTACCAATTGAGCATCGTTGCAACGCCACAGCCTACCTGAGTATTGTTGCTGACCATGTCCATCCCTTTATGACCACAATGTACCCAACTTCTGATGGCTACTTTCAGCAGGATAATGCGCCATGTCATAAAGCTGGAATCATCTCAGACTGGTTTCTTGAACATGACAATGAGTTCACTGTACTCAAATGGCCTCCACAGTCACCAGATCTCAATACAATAGAGCATCTTTGGGATGTGGTGGAACGGGAGATTCGCATCATGGATGTGCAGCCGACAAATCTGCGGCAACTGTGTGATGCCATCATGTCAATATGGACCAAACTCCCTGAGGAATGCTTCCAGCACCTTGTTGAATCTATGCCACGAAGAATTGAGGCAGTTCTGAAGGCAAAAGGGGGTCCAACCCGTTACTAGCATGGGGTACCTAATAAAGTGGCCGGTGAGTGTATATATATATATATATATATATATATATATATATATATATATATATATATAGATAGATAGATAGATAGATAGATAGATACACATATATATATATATATATATATATATATCTATATATATATAGATATATATATATAAATTTATATCTATACATATTCTCCTGAGAAAAATTAAGCTCACCTTCTCCTTTTTTTTAGCATTACATGAAATATCTTATTAATTCAAATACATTACAAAAAAAGCACTTGCTTGATTATTGAGCAAATACAAAAAAAATACTACAGGAAAAGCAACCACTGCATTGGAACAAAAAATCAAACAGGTGAGGTAGCGACACACAAAAAAATAAAATCAAAAAAGGGGAAACATACTTTAAAGACAAATAAGATGCTGCTCAGGTGCTGACAGAAGGAGAGCTGAGAAGAGGTCTGGTGTCATCTTCGTTCCCGGCCTGGCCATCCTCCTCAGAGCTTAAATCTTCTGGCTTCCTAGGTTCAGTGGAGACATCTAATCCAATGAATGCCACTGCCCTGAAATGTTTCCAAAGGGGAACAGAAAATAGACATCACCAATTCTGGCCAAAATGGGGGAATCTACAGCGTCGTATTGTTGCATTAGTGATGTTTTTGAAGTTACAAAAAAACAACAGTTATATCACAAAAACAAGAAACAGCAAAGTAAATTAGCTCAATTGTCAAAGTGAAATAATTTCTAATTTAACAACAGACCCAAACATGCATACATGTAGTTAGCATGCATAATTGACTAAAGCAGCAGAATGTAGATATGACTTCCAAACAGTGACTTTGCTGTTTTAAAATGAACCACTGTGTTAAAAAAGAAAGAACAGAGCATGTGATAGATGCTCAGTCTGTTAAGGAGTGTTATGTTTCACACTACAGCTCCCACACTGACTAAGCAGTATCACTTTGTTTTCTAACTTTAACAAGTGTCAGCAAAACATCCCTCGGTTCAATGTTCATGGCACAGCTCAATATGCTTTATACTGTTTGAATTTTCCCCATGTTGCCACAGTACTGCCACAAAGGTAAAAGTAAAGTATTTAATTTGAATTTTGCCTGACAAACCAACAACAAGCAGCACATTCAAGAAGACATACAAAACCTTTTCTGCTCATTGATCATTAGAAATGACTAAAATTCTATCTGATTACATGAAAAGATGCTATGCTAACAGTTCTAAATTAGATTTAGGTCTATATATCTATATTAATATGTGATCATTTTCTAGTCCCTGTAGAAAAAAAAAGAAAAACAATATATAGTATAATAGAAAATGCTTATGCTGCTGCCAACATGATTTGCAGTATGTTAGAAAGGTTATTGTACAGTGTTGGTTTCCCATCACATATTGTTTAGCATGAAGGCCTAAAATCTCCATTTGGTGTTTCCCCACTTGGTTTGTGGAAACTTTTATGGTTCTCATTGAACAATGGTTTTCTTCCTCCCCTTCTTAAGTAAAAGTCTTGTGGAACGCACCTGTTGCAGTTGTCCAGTCAACTCTTTCCACCTGAGCTGCAACTCTCTCTTCCAAATAAGGAATACAATGCGTATTGATATTTTACAGATTTAAAGGGGATTTCATATTTTAGAAAGCTGTGCAAATAAACTTGAGATTTTCTTTTTTAGTTCTATGGAAAATGGATTTGGTTTGAAAGTTGTAGGTCAAATAGGGAACTGTGCCTTCCTCTTTTTTTAATTTTCAAGCAGGATTTCTCTTTTCTACAGAAGTCGAGGGAATCTGCCGTTTGTGACAAAGCAAATGTAAAACAACTCCCTCCATAGGCTTAAACAGGAAATTATGAATCAGATCCTGTTGACTGTTAAGATCATATGTTTTAGTATTGGTGTTGGATTTGCCTATAAATCTATTTTAATTTTATTTTATAATTGAAATCATAACTTAAAAGTTCTAATCTGTGCCAGAAGACACTGGTCATCTATTTCATAATTCAGTCTGTTCTGTGTGCATTTATCAGTATGTTTGATAAAACACAAAAAAAGAGCAGAACTAGAGATGAATCAAGGTAAATATTAACAAATAGGACTAAAATTGGCTCTGGGTGACATGTTCTTTTTTTAAAAAGCTAAACATTCTCAAGTTCTATAATTTTTATTAGAATTTTCAGTTAGATAAAAGTTATTCCTGCCTCAATTCAAGAAAAAAAACAACTAATTTTAAGATAAAATGACTTATTTAGACTTAAAGATTAGATTTTTTATTTGTTTTGCAGTGTAGAAAGCTGTTTGATCAAAACATCAACTAATCAATGAATTAAATGAGGACAAACTTAACCATCATACAGTTTTCATTAATGGAGACAGGGAGAAAACAACTATTTTAAGCAGATAGACTAGTCAAAGGTGCTCCTTTAAGAACTAAACTTTATGGAGGATAAATAATTAGTAGGGATGTGTTTTTATTAAACAGCAGAAAATGTAAAATGAATATAATAAAGACACTTAGCATGTCTCACTTTCTAAGCAGGTGCAAAAAAGAGAAGAAAAAGAGAGATTTCTCAGGGATGGGTCTGAAAGTCAGCATCTCCACTCCGTTATATCAGGACAAATTCCCCTTTTTTGAACTAAAACTCCTCAGCAGGAATTTTTAGACTAAAACGGGATCTCTGTGAAACGACTGAGAATCTGCGTAAATATCAGCCCTGGTCTGCAGAGAAGATCCCTGATCATCCAAGACTTCTAAAAGTTTTATTTTTGTAGCAGGTTTCAGTGTATTGCAGATCTCTGCCCAGGTCCCCTTTGAAAATGATATCCAGATCTCAACGGGGTTTACCTGGTTAAATAAAGAAAATAAAAAAATGTTTTAAAAAGTCTGGATACAGGTAATAGACGTCCTCGCTATGATCTGTTCAAGACTTTCAGGCATTAAAGGGCTCTGTTGAAATACTAGCAGCCATCCGACGGACTCTGCTTCTTGTGGAAAAATGGCAAGAAGTGATGACAGAAAAGCTGCAGGAAGTCCTGCTTGTGGTTTGCCATTAGGCATTTAAGGAAATGAGCAAACATGTGGAGCAGCTGACATCCAAATTAAAAGCAATACTTAACGTCAGACTGCTCACAACATCTCTGCGGTGAAACATGTGGGGCATCATAGTGATGTGAGAATTTTTGTTTCATTTGGTTTTCTAGGCGGAACAGAGAAACTGATTAGAATGATGAGACCATGGATGGAGATTAATACAGGGCAATCCTGGATTATAATCTGTTGGTGGCTGTGAAAGAATTAAGAATGACCAGGAGGTTCACATTTTAACTGGAGGACAACAAAACAATACTTCAGATTAGCGCATTAATAAGTCCTGAAGGAAATCCAATAGAGAATCTTTACTCATTCATTAATTCTTTTCTAATTTGTACTGGAAGAGTTAGAAAGACTTTTGCTAAGTACTATTTCTGTATAAACCTGTTGAGGAATGATTCTGTTTTTAGATCTCTCTTCTGAGAATAGTAGGATTTTATTTGCGTTTTTATCTAGAAAATATATATTTACTTTATAAGAGTCCCACAAAAGCCTGATATGACAGTCTACTCATCTGTTGTAAACACTAAGAAAAGAACTTACCCAAGGGCAGATAAAGGAATGATGCAGAAACCTGCTGCTAAGAGGAAGTTAAAACCAGAGTACCATCCCACCGTGGCAGCATAGATACTATTGAAGACTGCAGATCCAACGTTGTTAAATAAGCTCTCCAGGAAGGAAAGATAAGCAAACAGGGCTCCTAACAAAACCAAACAAAAAAAAAGGATTCAATGAAGCATAACAGTACAAACTTTGCTCAAATATTACATTCTTTTAGTCACTTTAACATCTTCTAGGATAAACAGAAACTTTAAGTGGCCTGTTTTTCAAGTGTATGTTGAGATTTTAAAGAACATGACACAAATCAGTGGACTCTGACTCTTTAAACAAGGACATGGTTCCATGGTCCGTGTCCTAAACCCACTCACCCTGCTCAGACTTGGAGACAATCTTTGACATCATCGAGCGCAGAACAGGGAAAGGCATGATGGAGAAAAGCATGGGGACTCTGACTGCAATACACAAATACCACAATTAAAAGCAGAAATCTAATGGAAGGTGTTCTTCAACTGCAGAAGCATAAAGCTGGTGACAGAAATCAGTGTTTCTGAGCTTCTAAATCTTTCAAAAGTCCTCTTGCAGTGATATATCCAAAACAAACAAAGCATACATAAGTGAATAAACAAGGCAGATAAGACGTCAAAATTACAAACACTATAAAGCTTACAGTTCAATCATGTAATAAAAACCTGTAACCTCAGTAGCTTTCAGGCTTGTAAACACTGTCAATCTGTAACCAAAGACTGTAATTTATGTTTTTACATTTATTTAATTCCTGTTCAGGTTTATAAAACCTGATAAATTTGTTAAAACATGCATTGTAAGTAAAGTTCTTGGCATTTTTATTTTTTTATTTTCTATTCCTTTAATCTCTTCACTATTTTGAGGATCGACAGATAAATAATCAAATAGCAAAGTGTTCTTGATAGGAGATCACAATTTGAACAAAGTGAAGCTAAACTTCTTTTATTTTATATGCAAATTGTCTTTCATGTTTTTACAGAATTGGCAAATTGCTATCTGAATGTGTTCTTATTTCAGCAAATTACATATTAAATAGTTTGTATAATTCAGTCGATGATTATTGGATTAGCAATTTGGTGAATATTTTAATAGATTCATCTCAATTAATCAGATTAAATATTTTCAGCTCTGCAAGAAAACACTCAGAAAACAACAAGTTCTAAACCTTGAACTGAAAAGTGTGGAATAGACCTGCTTTTTGCATTTAACTGAAAGACACATGTTTCATAGTTTGTATTTAATTAAGATTTTCTTACACTCTAAACTCCAACTTTGATTAAATGCTTCAATTGGTAAATAATAGGGATGCACGATATTGGGATTTTGGCTGATATCCGATATGCCGATATTTTAAAACTCATGTAGCCGATAACCGATATCAATACCGATGTTAAAGCTGGACAAAAATAAGTAGTCATTGAAAATAGCAGTTTTGTTATCCATTTCTGACACTTTGAAAAATAATATACTCAAATATATTTTCATATGCTGATATCAAATAGATTTTTAAAAACGCGGTATCGATCTATTTTACTTTTTAAAATCTCGTGAAATTTCATCGTTCTGTTACAAACTCTCGTGATATTTTGAAAATTCTTGTGAGATTTTGTTAGTAAAATAGATCGATGCCGCGTCAATATATCAACATATAAAAATATGGCAAAATTTCATGAATTTTCGGGGGATTTCGTAGCATAACGATGACATATAGCAATATTTCATTAGTAAAAGAGATTGATATGGTGTTTTTAAATGGCAATATATCAGCATATGAAGATATTGTGATATTTTAATGTATCAATATTTTTTCCCTCATCTTTAGAAGTTTTTAAGTCTGTAAAAAAGAAGTTTTTGAGGAAGAAGAAGAAGTAGTATTTTTTTTTTTTTTTTTAGACTTTAGAAACTCAGAAGCTGATCAAATATCGGGTTAAATATCGGTGGGGTGGCCGATGTCCGATATTCAGTTTTAAGGCCGATACAGGCCGATACCGATAGGGGGCCAATTATATCGTGCATCCCTAGTAAATAATTCAATGAAGTTTGCCCAAATGAACTTATTCATTTTGGCAACTTATAAAATAAGAGTCAAGTTGGATCAGCTTGATTTAATTATTTGTCACCAATTGAAACAATTCATTTAGGTTGGCGCTGAATTCTCTTTTTAAAGTGTACAGTATGTTCAGCAATATAACACTGAACTTGTATATGTAGTATCTAAGATGACCAGCAATTCACAGAGCAATTCAAAATGGTTTACAATCAAATCAAGAACCAATTCTAAAAAAAGAAAAAAAAACTTTTAGGCAGTATAATACGGTACTTCAAGTCTGATTTTGTCTGATTGATGTCATGGCAATTGAAGCAGGTAGTAGAGTGGTATGGTGCTAAATCCTGCAGGAAAATTTAAATAAATCATCCTCAGAGAGTATAGAAGAAGAAAGCATGAGGGTTCCATAGTTTCCTGACAGACATCTGCGCTTGTTTCGGAACTGACTAAACATATAGATCTAACACGATGGTATGGCCCCCCCAAATCATCACTGACTGTGGAAACTTCACACTAGACCTCAAGATTTCTGGCTTATGCTATGCTGCACTCTTCCTCTTGCCTATGAGACAATAATATCAAATGAATAACAGAATTTCACTTTCATCTGATCAGAGGACTTTGGACCGCAAAGGAAAAGCCCAGTTATTTTATTACGTAGTCCAGGCAAGACGCTTCTGATGTCTTTAGTTTGGGAGTGGCTTAACACATTTAATAAAGGCGAAGCTCATGTCCCATGTGTGTATATCTAGAAGCATGGACTCCAGCATCAGCCCAAGCCCTGAGAATCTTCCAACACTGTTGAATGATTGTGGTATGGTTAAAAATCCTCTCAGGGCTGCATTTATTTCATTAACTTGTGAATATTTTTTCCATTCATATGCTTGGATAAAGCCCGATTACAGCTGACAAAAAAACACTTAAAATATTTGTAACAAAGCAAATTATTTGGGTTTTAATTATCGGGTGAAATTACAGATTTAAATCAATATTTGAGTGAATACATGTATAATACATGTATATAAAGTTTACCCACTTTAACTGGACTTTAGTAGCATATACTCACCTAAAAACATCAGCAATGTGGTTTTTGCAAACGCCAACAGGATCAGTCCTGACGCCACAGAAAGGATCCCCAGCATGACAATAAGCACCTGTGGAACGCCGCAGTACGTGAACGCTGATACTCCCAGGAAACTGGTCAGGAAGACGGTGGTGGACAGTGCTGAGCCATAGCCGATCAGAATCTCAGTCCAGCACAGCGGCTCATTAAGCTCGTAAAGCGTCACCAAAGAGATGCCTCCGATATAGGCAAAAGTGAAGCTCGTGAAGATGATCATCAAAAGGGTCAAAACTGTTTTACACCTGTAGCTTGCCTTGGCAAAGATCTGGCAGAGCCCAAACACCAACAGTCTCAGTGAAGTCCGCTGGGAGGACCCGTCTAGCTCACTGCCATCAGTGGGAGACTTTTTCACAGTCTCCTCTAAAATAAACACTGCATAGATTAAGATCAAACACTGGCACAATGCTGAAGTCAGGAAGGGCCAATTAAACCCTGCAGCTCTCAGAAAGTAACCTGTAGATATGGCAGCCACACCAGACAACAAACCAATCATCATATCCACTCCAGCCATCCGCATCGTCTTCTGCCGGTCATCTTGGCACAAATCCGCTATGTAGGCAAAACAGCCACCCAGGAAAGTACTGATGCCCCCAAACAGAGAGCTGAGGAACGACGAGCCAATGAGAAGGTAGACGTTGAGCTCAAAGAAGGACACGGTGAGGAAGGTGGAGGTATAGATCAGCGTGCCTATCAGAGGCATGATGATGGAGATTTTCCGTCCTCCCCGGTCGCTGTAGGCCACTACGATAAGGGTGACGATCAGAGACGGGACTGTAGAGAGGAGCTCCGAGTAAAGGGAGAACAGAGACGCCTGCTTCTGCACCTCCTAGGGAAGCAAACAGATAGAGCTTGGGTTAGAACAAAATCAGTGCCTGAGAATAAAGTTGTGGACGTCTGAGAAAACGAACATACAGAGCAAAAACAATTTCTGCTGCTTAAGTCAGAAGTTGATTATTACAAATGAAATAAATCTACCTACAACTTATTTTTATAGACATTATGGATCACTGCTAAAATATCTGATGAATTATGTAGCATTTAAACATTTTGCCATCCTGACGAAGAGAGCAGCACAGAGCTGAGGTCTTTACGCTTTGATATTCAAGGTATAGTGGAGGATTTTCAGGAATTTTTGAAAAGACTTGCCCTCACCGCTTTAAAAAAAATAATAATGCACATACACATCTCTGTGCATGTAAATAGTAAACATGTGTGAAAGCATGCACGAGCCCACTTCTCCTCGTGTACGGTCTGTTCAAAAAGTTGCTGTTTGCATCGCTCATAGAAGCTTACTTTCCAAAAGAAGATTTGCATTTTTTCCACTATGTCAAACTCACCACCGGTAAATGTAAATGGGGAAGAGCACTTAGGACGGCCTTACATAAACATATCACCAGAATCATTGACAATTAGGGGGACCACTTATTTAGATGATCCACTCGGAAAAAGAACATCCTCCACTATACCTTTAAGTTGTTAAATCGAATATATTATTTATTCATTGGTAAAAAAATGAAATACGTATACCAGTTGTGCACATAAATTGAGATTTTAGGTTGGTTGGTAGGTATGAAGTGTAGTGGGGCTACCTGCTACTATAGAAGGCCTGCAGTCACTTGCTTAGCAGACATGCTATGTAATTGCATTTTCTAAAAAATAGTAAAAATTTTTATACCCTTTAAGACCGAGAGAGAATTGGTTTTCAAAACCTATGGAGATACTTCCAAATAAATGGATTAGTCTCTCTTATAATTAAAGGGGAAAATCAAATAGACTTCTGGTCAGCTGCCAGGTAGTTAAAGAAAGATCAACACCACTTTAATATTTGCTCAAAAGATCTATAAAATAAACCTGCAAAGTCAGGACACTTCCTTCGAATCTGGTATATTTTTTTAAATACCTTTTAAATACCTAACAGGCACAGCATGACAGAAAAAAATCAGTTAGAAGGTTTAATATGTTTAAAGCCTTGGTCTGACAAGTTATAACACCAGTGACAGAGATGGCAAAACATATGAGAACATGAGAGGTTTTGCTTAAGAAAAAAGAAATGGAACAAAACCCCACTGCTATGCAGGTGCAGTTAAAGCAGCTGTAATGTCTATAGTTAAAAAAACAACATATAAAACAGGTTATTTGAGTCTGAGCGTGTTTCACTTCCTTGTTCTATTTTTAAAGTAAAAGGCAGCATGACGTCCCAAAATGTTGATAGTCCAACAACGCATACTTCCTCTAATCTGTTTAAAATCTATTTGTTTCGGGTAAGTTGCTGATTGCAAACTCAGAAGGGCTGACATGAAACTACAGTACGCTGTTAGTTCACAGTCAAGTCAAGCTCAGAGGGATAAGCTATTGATTACATGTATCTACAAAAACATGATTCTGATGTTATTTACAACAACAACAAAAAAATGCTGCAATAAATAAAACAAACTCTAATTTTTTTCGTATCAAAACAACAAACTTCAATCTAAATACTTATTATGTGACTCCTAAATGCTGTTGGTTGTCCTGAAATCCATTTATGGGGAAGACTAGAAATGTTTATGGTAAAAAAATAAACAGCCTTTACTTATATAGCACTTTATTACATCCAAGGATGCCAAAAAGTTTCTCATCAGATGTTCTATTTTTACTGTGAATAGAGCCTTTATTCTTAGCTTTATTAGCTCAATGTAAAATCCAACTAAAATTGTTCTAAATAAGATTATCTGACAAAATTCCAGGCGATGGATGCATCATTTTACTGCCTGTAGTTCTAAACTAACCTTATGGAAGTCAGTGTGGTTGCTGCTCCTGTTAGTTGGAGCACATCTGGAGGTGTTGTCAGACACAGGATAGGTGGTGTTGGTCAGCTGCTGCCAAAGCCGCCTGTACACATACTGCTGCACAAGAGGGTAGGTGAGAAAGCTGCTAAACGCATACAGAGCCACCACTGGCTCCACCAGGTAAAGCCGCTTCATGTTGAAGAGGATAAATTAAAGTTCCTGAAAAAAAGGATAGGAAAAAATTATATTTAGATATGAAAGCCCGGAAACTGTGAGACTAATCTCTATAGGTTCTAGCCTTTTTTTCACCGGTATAAATTATCTCTCAATAGAAACAGTGATCATTAGGAACCAGAATAGATCACGGAATTCCTTTAGGATTATAGAAAATGCAACAATTTTTAAAGCACTTTGATGGGGGAAATAAATTACGGACTTTTACTCCATGTGAATTACAGCTAATAATATTAAGGGGAGTGTTGGCATAGTGGTTAGAGCAGTGCGCTTGTGCTCTGTGAAGGTTGCAAGTACCCGGTTCGATTCCTCATAGCCTGCACTCTGGGACCCTTAACCCTACACTGCTCCACAGGCGCCGCACGATGGCAGCCCACTGCTCCCCAAGGGGATGGGTTAAAATACAGAGAGTGAACTTCTCCCATGTGAAATTAATAAAGGTCTTTTATATTTTTTTAAGGTGAGTGGCGGCCTAGTGGTTGGAGCATTGTTCTTGAAATCCAGAGGTTCTTAGTTCAAGCCCCACTCCTACAGACTACCACTCTGGGTCTCTGAGCAAGACCTTTAACCCCACCCTGCTCCCAGGTTGCCTCACAATGGCAGACGTCCCAAGTCTCCCAGAAGTTCAGAGAGTCTCCCTGATATCGATAGTTGCTCACGGATGCCCGCGAGTCGGATAAATTATCCCGATTTTACACTCTGCAAGGTGGTGTTTTTTTTATGCAAGTGAGAGCGTGCAGGAAATAATTCATGCATCATGTGCAGATTAGAACTACTTCAATTGCGCAGACAACAAGAGAGTGTGGGGTGTGGGGAGGAGGTTGCTGGTGAAACCTGTGCAGCGTATCTGTCCAAAGCCATGCTCTGTTCAACCAGCGTTCCAGGCGACTGGTTGTCAGAGAGCTGATTGGATCAGTCCGATAAGTTTCTCTGGTTACTCTCTGGCAGTCACCTAGTTACCACTCAAAGCTGTGCATCTTGTAAAACGGCAGAGGCTGAATCCTTGAGTAAAAAATGAAAATATCAGACTAATTTTACAGCAGAATTTACTAAAGTATATCCACGTCTAGTGAAGGTGAGGAACAGTGGTGGATCTAGACCAAATGTACCAGGGGGCCAGGAGGGGCGCAACATGTTTTCATGGGGGCACAGAAAAGCATGAAATAAAAAACAGAGCAAGGGATTCAAATATATTAATATAGCTGCATGAAGTGAAACTTCCTTTCAATTAGGTTCAATAGAAATTATATTTCTTATTAGGTCAATATACATTTATAATTTAGGAATTTTACATTTTTTTTATTAATTTAAGTTAAAACTACTGTTTTCTATCAAAATTGAATCAGAACTCAAGAAAAACTGTTAAATTAATCTGTAAATATTAGAGAACTTTTTTTCAATTTGTTGTGAAAAAAAGAAAAACATTTAGCAGATGAAAACTGGGATCCTATCTCAGTACCACTGAAGCTATCACCTTACTGATTTTGAATAATTAGTAAAACAGAATTTGTAAAGAAAAAGAATGAAATAGATCCAAAGGACCAATCAGTAACCATGTCTGTTCCAGCACATATCATCATTAGAAATTCTGGGCCCCGTTGGCCCCTGTCTAGAACCGGCCATTGGGGAGGAAGGATGACACCGTGGCGAGGTGCACTATATGCTAAAGTCCATGAAAAACAGAAAGCACAACCAATGTTCAAGGCTGCAAGATTGAATGTATTGAAAATTAAAAATAAAAGACCAATACTGTTCTGTTTTGTGTTTAAGAAATTACTTTTAGTTAATAAACAAGAAGTTGCTGGCCTTAAGTGTGTATGTATGGGGCCTCCCTGAAATTAGTTTTTGGAACTTGGGATGTCTGCAATGGCAGCCCACTGCTCCCCAAGGGGATGGGTGAAATGCAGAGAGTTAATTCTGTTGCTCTGTACTTGTGACGTGTAATGACAATAAAAGCTGAAAAAAAAAAGACATCAAAAGAGGAAGGTTAGCGGTTACTAATGTAGTATTAATAAAAACCATGTTGGAAAATTGACCTTAGGAGAACTGAAACACATGAAACACAGATTCTGAAACACATTTACATCTTTTGCAGATGGTAGATGTTCAACTTTACCTGACTGAAGCAGGTTTATTTCAATATTCTACTCAACATAGTGGACACCTTTATGGATTTTGAGTGCAAGCAAACTGTGAGAGTGGGCACACTTCCCTTTTGAATGGTAACTGGTACTAATATATAAAAATAACAGCTTTATCTCAAATGGTTTAGAAATAACAGTATTTTGAAGTATGAAATGGATTAAAAAAATTCAGTTTGGTGATTTTTGTGTGTTTCTATATAAAATATAGTTAGATTGTCTACAGCAAAAAAAAAAAAAAGTCAATATTAAAAAGAAATTCCGTTTAACCTTTTTCTCATTTAAACCTAATTTGCTTTCCATAAAGGAAACTATTGTGACTAAGTTTTATATTCAATTTTATATACCAATTATGCTAAGATCACACATTGCAAAGGTGTGATACAAATGTTATAGTATGGCCAGAGTATAATTTAATAACTATAACCAGGGGATTTATTAAGAAAAGACTGAAAATAATTTACAGTAAAAGATAAACAGACTCAAAGCAACGCCTCACATTGATGATTTAACCATGCAAAAAAAGGTCTGACAAATAGCTTTAAATTAAAACACTGATCCATAGTTAATCTTCAAGCGGTTTATGCATAAAGATTTCCCTATTAATGCAACGGATGACAAGGAAAAAATAAAAAAAAACGTTATTTTCCTCTTTCAAACTTCAACTAAGTAAATTCACGATTAAGTAATATCGTAACAACATTTTGGCTAAAGTTATGTGATCGTTTTTATCGTTAGATTATCGCTTAAAATATTTTTTTATGAAATCAAACGTCCTTCAGTAGAGGAGATGACACAATTTAATAATAACACTGTGTTATAATTGACCTGAAGTTGCAGCAAAATGAGCTGGGTCAATTCAATATCATGTAGATTGAGATAGCACAACAAAAGTAGTACCGTGCAGTATTTATTACAATCATAATATATCAGCTTAGACCGTGCAATGACAACACTTACCAGCTTAAATATCCAAACCGATCATGTTATTGCTAAGTAATAGCTTCCTCACACTGCCGTGTTTACGAAAAGAGCTGAAGCTATCTTATATACACAGATGCTCATGGTTATGAAAGCCGGTCGCCCCGCCTCTTTCTATAATCTGATTGGAGGAGAACTCTGCAGTGTTGTCCTGATTGGATGAAATCAACTGTCCATCATGTTTAAAGGAGACGAGTATAATTTCCCCCTTGTTTAAAACTATTAATTTCAGTTAACAGACGTTACTTTAAAGCTTTACCGGTAATGTTTACAATATTTGTCAAAGTTTATTTTTTTAGAGTTTCTTGCAAGATTTTAAAGGTACTTCCGTCAGGCCTTCAGCTTGCTGTCTCTCCAGATATTGTGTTAGAAGGATTACGGTAGCGTCAGATGGGCGTGGCTTGCTTTACGTGGAACATACCACTGCTCCAACACGGCCGTAACACCGGGAAGGATTTTGTTGTGACAGCGGAGCAGCTACCCGGTGGGGAGACGGTAAGACGGGATATACGGTAGCTTATTTCCGATTATAATAATTAAAGCAGAGAGTAAACAAATACAGCTAACATTTATATACGGGCGTGTATGTTTTATGTTATCAGGGATAGCTAAAGACACCGTTAGTAACTGGTAGTTATCATCCCCGGGACGCCGAGATAGTGCCACCATCAAAATATTGAAACCTAGCGAATCATCATAGCTGTCACTGTGATTTAATCTGGCTAACCTGGGTGACCTTACCAGCTATTGGTAGGCTTGTTAAGAACGGCTAACACTTTCCTTACATGAGAGTAATTCATCCACTCCGTTTGATTGCTTTATATCTCTCAAAAATGTAGCATTTTTTGCTAGCTGGTAGGTTAGCGCCTGCTTCGTCTTCTGCAGCTGCGTTGCCAAGTCGTGACTATCAGAGTTAGGGAAGATGATCTGCTACTTCCCCGGCCTTAACTTAAACGTCAACCATCTCATTCTATCTCTTAGTTTCTGTTAAAATAAATATTGGTTTGTAATGTTGTATTTGGGGGGGCAGTCCCCTCACCATTCGCCCACTTTCCCTTTGACTTTGCACCCTAGTTTCTCTCTTGTTCCTGTGATTGTTTGGCAGATTTCTCCTTTTTCACTTTTAGGGAAACGTTTCAAAGTGCAGCAAACTGTCACTTTTTTATTTCAATGTTTATAAAGCAAGCTGGGTTTTTAAGAGTCAAATGGTGAGGATTTACAGGTGCTGGTCATAAAATTAGAATATCATGAAAAAGTTGATTGATTTCAGTAATTCCATTTAAAAAGTGAAACTTGTATATTATATTCATACATTACATAAAAACTCATATATTTCAGATGTTTATTTTGTTTAATTTTGATGATTACAAATGACAACAAATGAAAATCTCAAATTCATCATATCAGAAAATTAGAATATTTTGAAAAGGTTCAAAATTGATGGCCCCTGGTGCCACACTCTAATCAGCTAATTAACTCAAACCACCTGCAAAAGCCTTTAAATGGTCTTTCAGTCTAGTTCTATAGGCTACACAATCATGGGGAAGACTGCTGACTTGACAGTTGTCCAAAAGACGACCATCGACACCTTGCACAAGGAGGGCAAGACACAAAAGGTCATCGCTAAAGAGGCTGGCTGTTCACAGAGCTCAGTGTCCAAGCACATTAATAGAGAGGCGAAGGGAAGGAAAAGATGTGGTCGAAAAAACTGTACAAGCAAGAGAGATAACCGCACCCTGGAGAGGATTGTGAAACAAAACCCATTCAAAAATGTGGGGGAGATTCACAAAGAGTGGACTGCAGCTGGAGTGAGTGCTTCAAGAACCACCACACACAGACGTATGAAAGACATGGGTTTCTGCTGTCGCATTCCTTGTGTCAAGCCACTCTTGAACCACAGACAGCGTCAGAAGCGTCTTGCCTGGGCTAAAGAGAAACAGGACTGGACTGCTGGTGAGTGGTCCAAAGTCATGTTCTCTGATGAAAGTAAATTTTGCATTTCCTTTGGAAATCAAGGTCCCAGAGTCTGGAGGAAAAGAAGAGAGGCACTTCATCCACGTTGCTTGAAGTCCAGTGTAAAGTTTCCACAGTCAGTGATGGTTTGGGGTGCCATGTCATCTGCTGGTGTTGGTCCATTGTGTTTTCTGAGGTCCAGGGTCAACGCAGCCACATACCAGGAAGTTTTAGAGCACTTCATGCTTCCTGCAGCTGACCAACTTTTTGGAGATGCAGATTTCATTTTCCAACAGGACTTGGCACCTGCACACAGTGCCAAAGCTACCAGTACCTGGTTGAAGGACCATGGTATCCCTGTTCTTAATTGGCCAGCAAACTCTCCTGACCTTAACCCCATAGAAAATCTATGGGGTATTGTGAAGAAGAAGATGCAATACACCAGACCCAACAATTCAGAAGAGCTAAAAGCCACTATTAGAGCAACCTGGGCTATCATAACACCTGAGCAGTGCCACAGACTGATCGACTCCATGCCACGCCGCATTGCTGCAGTAATACAGGCCAAAGGAGGCCCAACTAAATACTGAGTGCTGTACATGCTCATACTTTTCATGTTCATACTTTTCAGTTGGCCAACATTTCTATAAATCCTTTGTTTTTATTGGTCTTCAGTAATATTCTAATTTTCTGATATGATGAATTTGAGATTTTCATTTGTTGTCATTTGTAATCATCAAAATTAAACAAAATAAACATCTGAAATATATGAGTTTGTATGTAATGTATGAATATAATATACAAGTTTCACTTTTTAAATGGAATTACTGAAATCAATCTACTTTTTCATGATATTCTAATTTTATGACCAGCACCTGTAGATCATTTCTGAGACAAGCTGCAAACAGGATGAAGTTTGTGTATAAATATAGATTTAACCCCAGTCTTCTACTTGATCTCTTTGGTACAATAGGTAACTAAGATAAAGGTATTATGTAAAGCATCAGGTGCTGTGTTTTGGTTCTCTTCTGTAGGCTCTGCTCACACATATGCAGTGTCTCACTCTTGACTAGATTTATTGGCCTACTCAGAATCAGAGCAGGATATTTGATAAGATGTGGAAACCTTTAGAAAGATATTATTTTGTTTTCCAACTTTATGATTTGCAGTTGGCCTGATTTTATCTGTTTCATAGTAATTTGTCTATCCAATGACCTTTAGCCTTGGATTTAAAATGACATGATCCAGCTTCAGAGCAACTGGCACAAACTGCAAAAAAACTGACCTAACATTCTTAAAATCAATGTGAATATGTATTAAATAATTGAACATACACTTAACAGGTCCTTGATAACTTTGTCAGTTGCTCATTAACATAGTGAATCAGTCGATTGTGGTATCAACTCTAGATTTCAGCATTTTGGCTTGATAAAGTTGGGCTGATTTGCCTTTTTTTTTTTTTTGACTAAAAATGTTTATGGATTATAGTCCAAAAAAGAGAACTCAAAGTCTTGTTGATGTCAATATAGCAGTAATAGTAAGCCAAAAATAGCTGAAAAAATATCATTGTAGGCTCGATATGAAATCCTGGATGAATCCTGCTTTACATTCACCATTAGGGCTGCTGGTTATGGATATTTACCCTTTGGACAGTATATTAAGCCTTTAAGACTGTATAGTCTTAATTGTGCAGGCCTCTTCAGACTCCTGTTCCTGTGATGGGGGAACTGGAAGTCTTTCACAGTTATCAGATTTTAGTCCAATGGAGCGCCTCAGAGATGTGATGGAACGTTGAGAAATGCATCTTAAATTTTAGCTGAAAAAAACTTCTACTGCTGCAACTGCTTGATGCGCTTAAATCAACATGTACCAAAACCTTTGGTGGAATGTTTTAGACTTTTTGTTGCAAAATGCACTTTTATGAGTTTGATTTAAAAAAAAAAAACAACAGATCAAGTTTGGGACATGTGCTTTGATGAATTAATAATATAACATATTAATTGAATTACTTTCTGTTTTATCATAATTTAAAATCCATCCAACATCCTGCAGTCCATGATTTCCTCTTCATATGTTTTAGTCCTTAGAAAAAAAGTTATTCACTAACCTTTCATCTTAAAAATGTGGACGCCTGACACAGGAGTTTATTTGCTTCCTTTGGTTTCCAGGTAAAAACAGTATTTTCCCCTTGGATCAGCCATGGCCTTCAGCAAAGGATATCGTATTTATCACAAGCTGGATCCACCGCCTTATAGTGTCATAGTGGAAACGAGGACCAGGGAGGAATGTCTCATGTTCGAATCAGGAGCTGTTGCCGTTTTGTGTGAGCCATCTTGTTCATCTTTAAACTCCATCCTTGGGCGGTTCAGTGGTAGTATGACACTTAGGATGTCCTGCTAATTATGTTTTTCTTTCTCCTCTAGCGGCAGCAGAAAAGGAGACCATTAAAAGTACCTATACCAGGATCTTTGATGCATATGGAATTCTGGGAGTTCTCCGGCTTAACCTTGGTAGGAAAACAGAAAATGACTTTTCCCTAAATGGCTAATGTCAAGTGCAGCTATAAAGCCCCTCTGGTTCGTGTCAGTTAGTCATAAGCTGCTTTCTGCCATCCCACGTACGACCTGGAAGGCTCTTGTTATCACAACAAGGGACCAGGATCGTGAAAGGTTAAAGCTCAGTCTTCTGGAGGGCTGAGATTAGACTGGCTGCTGAATTCCTCCTAAGCAGAACTGCATCAAATTGCAGTTAACCACCTGCTTTTGTTCTGTTAATATTCCAGGTGACTCCATGCTCCACAGTCTGGTGGTTGTGACTGGATGCAGCTCTGTAGGAAAGGTGCAGGATTCAGAGGTCTTCAGGGTCACGCAGACAGACTTTATATCTCTGAAGAATGATCCAGCTGATGAGGACAGGATTGCTGAGGTCCGCAAGGTCCTAAACTCCGGTCACTTTTACTTTGCCTGGTCTTCCACTGGAGCCAGCATGGACCTAAGTCTCAACGCACACCGCAGGATTCTAGAGGACACCACAGACAACCGCTTCTTTTGGTAGCAACCTTAAAATCTAACTATTTAAAGTTCATAGAAAGGCCTTTAGGCATATATTTGGCTTTCAAATGACCTGGAATGAGAAAGCTAGCATATATGCAAAAATGGATTCTGCTGGGTTATTTTCTATTTTTTTTTTAATTAGATCTCTCTCCCTCTTTATAAATAACAAGGAACCAGTCTCTGCACTTGCACCTTAAACACTATGGAGTTAACTGTGATGACTGGCTGCTGAGGCTGATGTGCGGCGGCGTGGAGATCAGGACTATCTACGCAGGCCACAAACAGGCCAAGGCTTGCATCTTCTCTCGCCTGAGCTCGGAGCGAGCCGGGACACGATTCAATGTCCGAGGAACCAATGATGACGGGCAAGTGGCCAACTTTGTGGAGACGGAACAGGTTAGTCGCAGCTCTTCCAGACTGAAAAGTGGCTGCTTAGAATACTGGATGGGTGCATTCTGTAAACCAGTCAGTCCATTTTTAAGTTGCTATAAACTAAACCTTCCAATATTATATCTATTGCAATGTGGCTTTAATTTTAGCGCTTTTTCTTTGCAAACTGTAGCTTATGTTTAACGCACCTTGCGGATCAGACTATTTTAGTAATGACACTTATTAGCTCATAAGTCAACGGTTTCTATATCAGTGAATACATTTTATACATATAAATATTACTTTTCAATAATGATGATAGACTTTTTGTAAATACTCAAAACATGAAACTGAGCTTTTAAAGTCATTGTACTTAGAGAATCTCAAAGCTTTGTTTTATTGTTAAATGTGTTGCCAAGTTTCCGTCGACAGATTTTAATCTTGTTTTCATATTAAATGATTATAGGTTTTCTACCTTCGTGTTTCTTCTGATAAAAGGGAGAATCATTGTAATCATTTTTTTGTTGGAAAGTCTACTAAATGAATTTAGCGAATAAACTATCGGCCTAATTATGTTGCCTTTCTTTCTTGTTCTGAATGTTCTTTAAAACATCTGATCAATTAGTCGTGTGACAAAAGTTTTCCTTTTTTTAAGGCTATTTTCCTGGATGATAAAGTCTCCTCCTTCATCCAGATCCGGGGCTCCATTCCTCTTTTCTGGGAACAGCCGGGAATCCAGGTACTGAAAGTGTCTTATAGCACCATCGATTATGTCAGGCTTTTATTGAACTCAGGAGACAGTTGTGATAAGTGATAGTGGATACTGCCACCATAGTTGGGACAGTCAATATCATTTCCTGTGACAGTGTGTGTTTGCAGTGTTTCTCCTAAGGTTCCCAGTCAGTCAGGGTCTTGGCACCTCCTATTTCATTCATTCCTGCTTCCATGTTGTGTTTGTTATAAAACCTTTACTCAATTTCACATATTATAACCCTGAACAGTCTTTTTAGTGGATGTTATTTGTTATAAAGTTAAAGAAAATATTCCTAATGGCTGATTTTAAGTAAAGTATAGAGAACCTTTTTATAAATAACAGGTTTGTAGGGAACATCTCTTTAGCAGGTAAGAAAACTTCCCAATTTGTCCCATTTATAGCTTAAGAAAGCTTAAAAAAGTCCAGTATGAAGCAACCAAATGTACAGTGGTATTTAATAACAAACACCCATTAGTTACATAAAAGTTAAACAGAAAAACAAGTTCTTGTCACAGCAGATGCCTTTATACCAGTTTTAACTCCTTTTGTCGCTGTGTTCAGAAAAAGTCCATTAAGGGTGTTTTGTTGCACCTACATGAGAATCGGCACCCTAATGGACTGGATGAAAACCCCCACCTGGTATAACCTTTTTTGTTCAGTTTTGTTTTGCGTCTCTTTTTGTTTGTTTGTATTTTTTTTTATATAATTTTTGGGTGGGTGGGGGCTCTGCTGCTCTTGCTGCTGCTTTATTGCTGCAGATAGGCATTCTTCTGTGCAATGTCAGAGTTCATGGGCGGAAAATCAAATGTCAAGCTTCCTAATAAATGTTTAGTTCCGCTCCTCTTTAAGGCACCTGTCCAGGAAATACCATTTTGATCATATCTCAACTTCCATTTATGTCCTCACAGCTGACCGTGTTACAGCAGCCTTAGTCTAGTTTATCTGCTCCCGTCCTGACATTGCACAGATTGGTACTTTAGATAGGAACGTGGGGGAGGTTAATGATAGTAATAGTGGTTGGTAAAGGGCCTTTTTTCTGTTTTTCTCAGCTCCCAGACTTCTTGGGTCAGGTGAGAGAGTCTGGTCTGAAAACAACCTCTAACCACTTCATCTGATTTTCTCCAATATTCCCACAGCAGCTGGATCCACGTTAACCTCTAACAACAGCAATCTGCTGCAGGAAGCTAAGACTGTATCAGACCCCTATTCAAGGCCACTTTACTCAAAACACAAATTAGTGGGCTTGGGGTTGTTTTCAGACACAAGGGTAGTCCTCCTGCTTTGACGCACCTTTTAAGCTCTCCCCTTCTACCCGTCGTGGCTTGTAGGCTATCCTCTTTATGCCCTCTGATAAACTACCTGAGCAGGAGGGGTTAATTTAGCTGTATTTAAAGGTTGAGTTTTCTTCCAAATATTTGCTACCCCTAGAAGAAGAAAAAAACTGTAATTTAGCGTTTTTATCATTAGCTATGCAATGCAAAAACCTGGCAAGATAGTCAGTAGGAGTAGTTAAAGTCACGTTCATTGTTGTATTTTTAATGCAGATACCTTTTATTAAATCAGAACATCTTGAACTTATTCTTGGTTTTGATATTTATAACTTATAGATCAAATAAAAAACTGCTTGCTTTGTGAACAGTTTGTTCATATACCTAATTTTGCTTAGATTACTGCAGCAGTGCTACATAGTATTAAGGGTGATCAGCTTGTGGTGTCACTGAGCTGTTAGCGAAACCCAAGCAGCTCTTATAGCGATCATCTGTATTGTTGGATTTTGGTCTCTTATTTCACAATCCTCCTTAGATTCAGTCTTAGACTTTAGTTTAGGTCAGTTTGCTGAACAGTTTTCTTCACTCAGGAGACCTATTTTTGTGGTCCAGAGATGTTTTGACCTGTTCAAGAGTGGCTTTACAAGATATAGGATATAAATAAAGCTTTCTCTCAAAGGCTATCTCTTTCTCCACAACACTTTTTCCTTCCACTCAACTTTTTAATCTAAGTGCTGTGAACAACCTTATTTTTTATATACTGCGTTTTGTGGTTTATCATCTTTGCAGATGGTTTGGCGCCCGTCTGCTGGACGACATGCGACCACCTTCCTGATGATTCAGTTGGCCATAACGGAACATTTATTTTAAAATTCGCTTTTAGGATTTCTGACATTTTTCTAGTTGTTCTTAGATCCCACAAAATACATATTTTAAACAACGCTCTAATTTATTGAGCTACAACTATGGCTCTGTAGGAAATAATTTACATGCTGAAAGATGCAAATGTCATGCTACGCTAACAAAGATGAATTTTAGTTACATCTATCTTCGATACCTGACAGTGTAAAAGATTGCATTTATTAAGATTTTTCTGATTGTTTTTATGTTATAAACTAAGTGACAGAGTTCAGGTCTGGACTGTCCCACAACAGCCTGATTGGTTTCAGATATCCTCTCAGGAAGTTGTTAAATATGCAGCCGCTGGACCTGCATGACCGGCATGAAAGAAAAGGAGTCACAATGGCCGCAGTGTGGTTTACAACCGCACTGTTCAAATATAGATCTATGCAAACTGCAAAGAAGCTACCACTAGCTTTCATCCTAGTGGTATCCATACAGACAGAAATGAAGTGAAAGTAGAAAATGATTTTCCAGTAGCATATATATCGTTGATGGGAATATTAAAGAGACAACAGGGAACAGACTTCCTTGTTGCTGCTAGTGTTAGCTGTTCTTGCTAAGCCTCAGTAGGTTTAGTTGCACAGATTTGAATTGAGTTCCCTGATTCGGTGCCAGCTGGTTGTATTAGATTTGTTGATGGAACAGCAAGACTATGATCTTGGGAAGGGAGGTGTTGGAGAGATGATGAGATTTCTCTGCTGCTCAGTGTCACCATGTTGCTCCTGTCCCACTCTATTCTGTCTCTATTTTAAAGTCAGCTGAGACCTCATCTGTCTGTTTCCAGTGCTGCACCCATGTCTTTTCCACATTCTCAGGTTTTCGGGGCATCCTCACCATATGCGTTGAATTTTTTTTTTTTATCTATCAAATAAGGACGCTGTTGTTTGTGTCTTTGCAGGTGGGTTCCCATCGTGTCAAACTGTCAAGGGGATTCGAAGCAAACGCACCTGCTTTTGAAAGGTAATAAAATGTTAAGCATTTATTTTGTGAGCGACTTTTTTCGCATTTCTCTCTTGCTTTATTTGATTTCCACCAGATTAATAAACTTCTCAATATCTATGCATGTTTGACAGCAGGGGAGGCTTCCAGCCAAAACATTCTCTTTGCAGTTATTCAATTGGAGGGAACATTTTGGACACATTTACAGCCTTTTATCTGCTGTTTCCCACCAAAAAAAATCAAGTTTTGTTTTTTGGTATCTTGTTCTTTCTTTTTATGTTGTTGAAAGAGTCCAATACTTCTCTCCATATATTGTCTAAAAGTTCTCTCTATTGGTTTAGTAAAAAATATGTTTAATACCTGTTTAAAAGTTAATTAAAAATACTGCTTTAGTTTAACACACTGTAATTTATTAATCATGACTGTAGGTTTTCTCAACAACTTGGTGGTATTGCTTCACTCCATTTACATATTTTTTTCCATTTTGTGTTCTTTTAAACCACTGTAACCTCCTCTTTTACCTTTCATTTTTATACCTTTCTTTTACATATCTGTTTATAAATCTCAATGGAGATTTAAGACGTCTTTTTTGTTGGGTTTTAAAAAAAGTCATAAAGGTCTTAAATGTTATAAACTAAAATCAGATATCAGTAGCTTTTCAAATACTCGGTCTATGAGGCTGCTGCTAAATAACTTAAAAACTAGAGCCAAGAAGACAGAGATGAGTGGAGATAAGTTTGGCTACGTTTAGGAGATTGTTGCAAATTACAAATTGAAAACTAAGAAAACAGATTTTACTCAGGTATTAACAGCGTTTGCTCAAAACTTTGATCCACCTTTGGCAGGAATTACAACCGTAAGTCTGTTTTAAGGGTATTTCATTATCTGCCTTTTTTTTTGCAGTGTATCTCATGGTCCTCAGGATTGGATGGGACAGTTGTACACAGCGCTTTTCAGATATCTCAAGAGATGTAGAATTGGATTAAAGTCTGAATTCCTTTTCAGTCACCCTAAGAAGGTCCCTTAGTGGTCCTGCAGCCACTCCTTTAAGTTCTTGGCCATGTACTTTGGGTCGTTGCCCCAGTCCACAGTGCTTTAGAGCAGGTTTTTATCCAGGATCTCTATGTACGTCATTACATTTGCATTTCCCCTATCCTGACTCATCTGCCATTTCCTGCTGCTGTAAAACATCCCCATAGCATGATGCCACCTTCATGCCTCCATGACTCCACTGGCCCAGTAATGAGTGGTACCTTGTTTTCTGCAAACATGATGCCCTGCATTCACCCCAAAGAATTCAAGCTTTGCCTCACCACACCAGGGAATTTTGTATCATCATGGACTGAGAGTCTTTCGGATGCCTTTTGGCAACAGACTGCCAAGTGGCTTTTATCAAGTAGGGGCCTTGGTCTGGTCACTCTGCCATACAGTCCTGACTGATTGATGTGCAGATGGTTTTCCTTCTGGAAGCTTCTCCTCTCTTCACAGAGGAACAGAGTGATTGTCCCTGACTGTGGCCCTTCTCCCTAGATGGTTTAGTTTAGACTTCCAAGGCAGCACTAGCAAGAGCCCAGTGGTTTCAAACTTCTTGCATTTGTGAACGATGGACCTTCAAAACATAAGAAATGGTAACTGGCCTGTACTTATATAGCGCTTTTTCAAGTCAGGAGACTTGACCAAAGCGCTTTTCACTACATTTAGTCATTCACCCATTCACACACACTCACATGCTGATGGTGGCAAGCTACATTGTAGCCACAGCTTCCCTGGGGCTCACTGACAGAAGCGGGGTTGCTGCACACTGGTGCTACCGGGCCCTCTGACCAACATTAGTAGACAATGCAGGTGAAGTGTCTTGCCCAAGGACACAACGACATGGAAAGTCGGAGCCGGGGCTTGAACCGTCAATGTTTGTTCTGGGGAAAACTATGTAGATCGTATGTTTAAGTAATGAAGCCGTTTAGAGCATCTGAAAACTTTAAATATGTAACCAGAGACTTGCAGCAGCTGACAACTTTTTCCCGAGAACTGAGGATGTCCTAAAATGACCACCGTACTTGTCCTTCCTCATGTACCTCAGAGATCCAATGTCAATGCATTCATTATTTGTACTTTTCAGTTGTTTTGTGGCAGGGGTGTTGACCAGGGCTTCCTGGTTTAACATCTGTGCCACACCCATGTTGCTCTGGAACCGTCCTTATCTAACCACCGCAGCCTCTTTTGGAGCAGTTGTTGAGAGGTTTACTTCAGTTTAAGATGACTTTTAAGAGAGCACTAAAAACAACCTTTGTTAATTTCAATTTGCACATATTGTGCTCTTTGTTGATACGACTCATAGTCTAGCATTATATTAATATAAATCTATAAAACAATGTTTTAAAATTAATCTCATTTGCATTTTGTAGAATAAAAAAAAACATACAGTATTCCCAGCTGTCTATTTCTGCATTTGCCACTTTATTAGTATATGGTTATTATTGTATTTACCAAGTGAGTTTTCACAGCTTTTGTTTATACAAAGCTGCAATATAATCACTACCGGTACAATAGTCTGTTTTCATATTGCAGGCTTTAACCAATTTATTTTTGTATAATATAAAACTAGCTCAACTTAAACTGCTTGTTGCGCCACTCAGAGTGTGAATAATTTTGAACACCATAATGATCCTGAATACATCTACTTCCCTAAGTGGCAACTTGTAAACAAACATCTTAACTTGGTAGCTCTATGAACAGTCACACCGTCTATAATGTTAAACCTATAACATTTGTCCCTACTTCTGAATCTGTTTTTTAGGCATTTCACTGCGCTGCGGAGGTTGTATGGAAAGCAGGTGATCATCAACCTGCTTGGAGGCAAAGAAGGGGAACATATGCTCAGCAAAGCATTTCAGGTAAAAAAGTCACTGCTCTGTTTTGTTTGTCGTTCTAAAGGATTTTATCTCGTTCCGAAAACAGCAAAGTTTGAGTGAATCTGCTGCAGGCTGGGATGTGTCACAGCAGGCCCTGTTATTGCACATTGCTCTGTGTAAGCTCAGTATTGACCATAATGAATTGTTCCTGCTAAAGCATCATGGATGATGTTGCTCAAGACAGAATGTGTCACTTCCTGTTCTACTTTCAGCCAGGCTCAAGTTACCAAAGCAAGTTCAAACATTGAGTAAAATGCCTCTTTTGTTGTTTTTTTACGAGTGTAAAGCTTTATTTGATATCTTTATACATATTGTGACAGTATAACCAGTCCTACTGTTTGATAAAACAGGATCCTTTAAGCGTTTTACTCTGATTAGAGAAAAAAAAAAGAAAACATTGTTTGCATAATGAATGTAAATTACTGGTGACACAACTGACTCCACTTACATGTGAACAAATACCTTTTCTGCGTTTTTTGTCTCCTTCAGAGTCACCTGAAGGCATCAGAGCATGGCACAGCAGTGAAAATGATTAATTTTGACTATCATCAAAATGTGCGAGGTGGCAAGACTGAAAAGCTCGCCAGTGTCCTGAAACCCCAGCTCAATAAATTCATAGAAGAGTGCGGGTTCTTCTACTATTCAGGGGAAAAAGGAATTGTGAGGTAAGAAAACACCTCCTCCTGAACCGATGTGTCCGTTTTCTCTTTATCTGCTTCCCGTTACAGTAAGAGTACCAGTATTACTGGTATGTTTACACCAATGGATGACAGGTGCACATGTTCCCCATTTCCGATAGTGATCTCCTATAGCAGTGTTTCCCAACCGGGGGTACGCATGCCCCTAGTGGTCCGGGAGTGCATTGCAAGGGGTATATATTATATATACATATATATATTAGTTCTTGGGTAGTAAAATAAAATAGGGCTGGGATCTGTTTTGCTTTGTGAGGACCCAATTGAAAAAATAAAACAAGCTTTTAACAACCAAAAAGTTAATTTTTCTTTTTTGAGTTCAGGTTCAGCTTTGACTCATGTCACAACTAAGCTCTTCTAATTGCCTCTACCCATTGTTCTCAGTTCTTGGTCAGTATTCCTCTTAAAGGCATCTGATGAATCTCTTAATAATCACTGAGATCCTTTTAATAAAATTGTATAAAATACATATAATATTTGAAGCACTAGATCCATACCAGAGATTTGTAATTATAGTTGTTCTTTTCAATAACAATTCATTGAAGATAGAAAACATGAGCAGTGAAATATACTCAATACTGTACTAATAAAAGTGAAAATTAATTAAAAAAGGTTTGTTTGATTGATTTATTCTATTTGTTTAGCAGGTTAAATAGTCAAAGTCTGATATTTTGATTCAGTGATGATTTATAAGCTGAAAGAACTGTAGCAAACTATATACTCTAATGACTCAGTTTGTATACAGTTTTCGCCTTATTTCGTCAGGTGTAGACATTATATATGGGACATCAAAATGTTTTTCTGAATTTTTGTTTCAGAACCCAGGGAGGGACCATAAGGAGTAACTGCCTGGACTGTTTGGACAGAACCAACAGTGTTCAAGCCTTCTTTGCTCTTGAGGTTGGAGTCCAGCTGCTCCTATGATACTAATGCATCAAGTTTAAATGTAATATTTTAATCACACTGCCTCCTTTCTTCAGATGCTGCCCAAGCAGTTAGAACAAATGGGTCTGACAGAGAAACCCCAGCTGGTGGCCAGGTTCCAGGAGGTTTTCAGGACCATGTGGTCAGCTAATGGCGACTCTGTCAGTAAGATCTATGCAGGGACCGGAGCCCTGGATGGCAAGGCCAAGGTATGCGGTGGGACAAACCAATACTTAAACTAAACAGAACATTTATGGTTGTTCTTGCAGATTAGCAGTACTGTGTGTGATCGAGTCCAAAGGTTGGTTTCCATAGCCTGATTCTGTTCCAGTTTGTGATGAAGGATTAATGTCTAAACTATTTTGCTCTCTAATGACACAATTTTAGGATTACTTCAATGTTTTTAAAAATATGGAAAAATATGAAAGCTGTTGTAATATTTAAATGTAATAAATTGAATAAAAACCCCTAAAAATAAATGCTTACTTAAAAGAAAAGCAAATAGGGCTGTTTCTCTACTTTATAGTCTTTAGATCCTCTTATCCCCCCTCAGGTTTATGGTGAATTCTTGGATCTTTAACTGGCTCTACTTTAGGCTCACAACAGGGAATTGGCTGTTATTTAACACAAATTAGGAATTGAAAATGCAAGCTTATGCTTTGAAGAACCTATGTTTTATGTTGAATACAGGTTTGCCAGCTTTTTCTATTATAGGCTTTGAAATGTATATAATCTAAGTTCTTCCCAGATCTTCGTCACCGTACTGCTGATTGTGCCGTTCCATGATGTTTGAACCAGATGGATAATAAAATCTAAATCGATCTATGTTTCGAACTAAAATATCGAAATTGAAGAGACTATCAAATTTTTAAGGAAAAGTCCGGTCAGCAAGGAATAACCAATGGTCATTATTTATACCTAAAACTAATATGTTTGCAGGGATTTAATGAATTTAGCATTAATCAGTAAAAAAATATACAATATTTTTCATCGCGATCACTAAGACTAGGACCAAATTTAGTAACTTTAGTCACTCCTGACATCTTGCAGCAGTGTTGTTGCGGTGCCGTAACCTGAACGCCATTCTGCCCCTTTTACAAGCAAAATCAATGGGAACTACTAGACACCCCAGCAATCAAAAATTATTTAAGATTTCAAGAGGACTTCACCATTGAAATTCGCGAGAGCTATAGTTAAACTTGACAATGTCCACGTGCATGGCAGTTGGATGTTGTAATACATCGGAAAAGTGGGGGAAAAAAATAGTTATTTCACCTTTCCAATTCATGATCCAACACGGGTTCGTTGTCCTCCTTTAAGATTGAGGATTTGCCATTGAACTTCTGGCCAGAGAAAAAACACATCATTCACCTGTTACTCTGCTTCACATAGTGCACTGGTCATTGCCATCATGCATAATGGGGCAACAGCCGATATTTTACCGTGATGTCACAAACTGGTAGTGGCAGTAGTGTTCTTTGACAAACATGGATGCCTCCGGTAAAGCACATTCAAATTAAATTACTCTTAATGAAAAACAATAATTTCATACTTAAAGTATTATCAGAAGGTTGTATTCTGAATGTGACCGAACTTTTCCTTTAACCCACTTGATGAAATGAAGTTTCTATAAGAAAGAGGCTAATGAAAGTGTAAGATCCAAACAGTTGTGTGAACAGTTGATCGCCTGTGTAGACTTTTGTGCTTCTCTTTCTTTAATAATTTGTATTGTCTCTTTTGGCTAACCTGTGGACCACTCCACCTACGTGGTAAGTCATCAGGATGGTCGATGTTGTTTTTGAGCTGTGGGACTATTTCTGGTGACCTGTGTATTTCAGGGTCTAATGGTTTGATATGAGAATGGAGGATGGGATAGGTGAAATCTTTTACTATTTATTCCGTATAATCCCTGTCTGCTTTCCTTTGATTATCCTTCTGATAACATATACTTTCATTGAACATTCCTGGAAATCTCACTCTGAGCAGAATTATACAAATAAAAGAAATAAAGAAGGGAAAAGGCTTTGGTTAAATACATCTGGTGGTATATATTGTCATTTATTTTAATGTTTAAAGCAACACGTGCAACCTTTCTTGGAATCTAGAGAAATCTGTTAAGATTGCCACCTTGTGGTGGTTTAGGAAAGCTCAAAAATTTAAAGCTCATTGCCCAAGAAATCATTTAAATCTACTACAATCAGCTCGAAATCTGACGGATCTCTCTAGAAAATTCCTTCCAGTCTTTTTGTTTTACCTTTTTTTTTCATCCTGCTGTGGGCAAAATGTAAAACATCTAATATAATACTTAATGTGTGGCTCTTTTTAACTTCTGGATACTTTTCTTCCTGTAGGCGGGAAAGCTCAAAGATGGAGCTCGCTCCGTGACCCGCACCATCCAAAACAACTTCTTTGATAGCTCCAAGCAGGAGGCCATCGACATCTTGAGGCTGGGATCCACACTAAACAGTGATTTGGCAGACAAGGCTCGAGCCTTGCTCACCACTTCCAGTCTTTATGGTAATTTTTTTTAAGTGGCTTATAATTTAATGGAAACCTCGTAGAAACTCTAAATTGCTCTCTTCTGAATTGTCTTAATAACTCTTTGACAAAAGTAAGTTTTTCCAAAAATTGGACACTGAAAATAAACTGAATAGCCATGAAATTACGCACAGCCTCCTGTTCTTGTCTATACTTATAGATTTACAGTGCAATCCATATTTTTGTGTCCTTTGAAATGCATCCTTAAACAAATTAATCTTGTAATGCTGCTGAATAATCTCACACAGAAACGTTTAAAAAGATCCAAATTTTCTTCACTGAATGATCTGACCGTGTGTTTTCAAACAATGGTTGAAAATTTTGACTCCTGATGATGAGGAAAAAAGGTTTTATTTTATAATGTTTTGCCGCTTCAGATGTCATCATGTCAAGCAGTCTTTAAAAAAAATAATAAAAAATAGTTCCACAGCACCTCAAACGTACCTAAAATTGGACCTGTGTTTTTTCTACACATACTTATCCTTTGATTTATGCCAAACCGACCTGGAATGTTGAGTTCTACAGGTACACTTTGGGTGTTTTTACCGCTCTGATACATAAGGGTTCTCATCAGACCTGGTGGTCAGAGGCTGTTAGAAAAAAAAAAAATAGGTTTCATTAAAACCAAAAGAAAAAGAAAGTAATGGATTCCTTATATGTTTCTAAAACCTTGGATAAACATGAAAAACAAAAGCATAAACTTCATAAAAAAAGGTATCCCTGTTGAGGTTTTCAGGGGTACTTATAGTTGTTGCACCAATGGATTGTGTAAAACAGATCTAAAGAATGTGAAATGTTTTATTATAGATTCATCTAAAGCCAGAGTTTGGGTTTCAGTAGAAAGCTGTTCATAAGCAGCATTAATATTTACTCAATGGTATCTCTTGAAGGAATGCTAACCTTAACTTTTTTTCCTTCTCTCCCACTTGCAAACAATCTTAGTCACAGAGCCTGTCTTACAATCAGGTACAGTAACGGACAGACTGCAGCCAGCAGACAGACATGTTTTCCTTTCCTGTCATAAAGTTGTTTGCATTTCATTATTTTTTTGTTTCTTTGTTGGTTGTGGTTTATTACACTGTCTGTTTTAATTAAGTAGCTGCATAAATGATTTGATTAAAAGGAGGAAATTGAACATTTTGTTTTGATGTTGCAGCAGATATTTTGGTGGGTATTTGCAGGCAGTAATAAATCATTACCAAGAATTACTCTGTTAACGTTTTTCAGTGAAGTGGACACAGTTTTACCATCCCCTTTATTTTTAATGTTCCTTTTGACCTTCGCCTGTATTTTAATTATAAACCCACTGCTTTGGTCCTTTCTTTATCAGCCTTTCCTCATCCATTTGATATTCCCTCCCCCCACCCCTCTCTCTGATCTACACTCACTTAAATTTTGAACTCTAATCATCTGTTCCTCCCTCTGCAGCCTCTCCTAGAGTGTTGCTGGGAATGTGTCAGAATCACCACAAATACACAAAACCCAAGCAGATCCGGATCTGCGTCGGCACCTGGAACGTCAACGGGGGAAAACAGTTTCGGAGCATCGCATTTCGCAACCAAACTCTGAACGACTGGCTGCTGGATGCTCCAAAGAAGGCAGGGCTTCCCGAGTTTCAGGGTACGTTCTTATTGATTTGGGTAATGCCAAAGCTAAAGCACAGGTGCAAATAATTTTTATTGACCAGTGGGTGAAGAAGTACAGAGTACAGTAGATATAAATCAGGAAGGTGGTTAAAAAAGATTATCCTGTAAGCAAATCCTCCCCCAGTTTTTTTTATTTTGAGAGCGCAAAGAAATGTCTACGTTTAGGATGTTTCTATGACTAATTGAGTCAGAGGAATCATGTAATTGGACAAATGTTTGTTATCTGGTTTTGTACATTTCCCAATCAGCTTTGAACTTTTACTTCACAGACAGTAAAGCCAATCCCATTGATATCTTTGCCATTGGCTTTGAGGAAATGGTCGAGTTGAATGCTGGGAACATTGTCAGTGCCAGGTATGTTTCTGAGATTAATTAGCTGATTATTAGAGTTAATAATGAACTAAGTAACTTTCTACAGTGAGAGACCTGTGACAGATTTTTATACAAATGTATTTTAATACGTTTAATACTGCTTTTGCAACATAACTTTATGCAGATTGTCAAAAAATGTAATGTATCTTATTGGGGCAAAAAATATATTGTATATTATTTTATTATGCTGCATAACTAACTAATGCCTCTTAGAAACATAAAAATAAAGATTTAAAACTTAAACATAATTAATGAATAAATAGAATAATAAATCTTACCATAAATAAAAGGATTCAGTGACACCTTGAGACGATTTTTAGAGATCACAAGGGAGCAAAGGGAATCAAAAAACTGATGAACATTGCAAACAGGTCAGGTATGAAGTTATTGCGATGTTTGAGGCAAAGGTGATTAAAAGCATCGTAAGCGTCAAACATCCAATGAAGCCTCGATGAGATAAATGAGGACCTAAATAATGGATCGGACCAGACAGCAGTCATACATTAGCATGGCCTAGTCAAGGTTCTCATTTATCTACAATACAATATTTTTAATAATTAGTTGTATATCCAGTCCAACTGAGTTTGAACTGTTTTGCATCATCTGATAGTGAGAGAAAAAGACTAGATGAGCAAAGCTGTTATAGACATAATCCAGAGGATTAGCAGCTTTAGCCACAGCAAAAGGTGACCCTACAAGATAATGAGAACCAGTCGCAGCTGCAAATATTTTGAGTTTTGTCTCCAGCAGCTTAGCAATTATTTCATGTGCTCTTAAAATAGCATGTCTATGGCTGCAACTAACGAGTGTTTTGCAAATTGTGGATAGACCCATATTGACAGACAATTTTTTTATTTATTTTTTTATCTTAAATGCGGAATGTTGTTATATTTTTTCTACAGTATTTGTATAATTAAGGCTCTGAGTGGGTTGCTCTGTCAGTTAAAGGCATATTTAAGAGTCTCTATGCTCCAATTAACGATTAAAAGACTACTAAACGATTATTTCAATAATCGATTAATCGATAATCATGATTAATCTGATTGTTTCAGCCCTGAACATGTCAAAATGTGAAATGTCTGTGAATACTTAGCAGTAGAATTAATTAAAGTCATTGCTTAATTTAAGGGATATTAAATGTTTTGTAAGGAAACACTTGTTTGAAAATTGAACTCAAGTCAGATCTTAAAAAAGCAGAGTTTAGGATCATGTAAAGTTTTAACTACAAGTTATAGTAATATCAGGTTAATTTAGCTTGTCTTATTTGCGTTCTGCATCTCCTCTTTGTCTCAGCACCACTAACCAGAAACTGTGGGCAGCTGAGCTCCAAAAAAGCATTTCCAGGGACCACAAATACGTGCTGCTTGCTTCGGAGCAGCTGGTGGGAGTGTGCCTGTTTGTTTTCATCCGTCCGCAGCATGCGCCTTTCATCAGGTAAGAACTGCACAGGTCCTCATCAGAAACATTCAGCGGCTGAGTTTATTAAAACTGTACATTCTTGACGCTACAGGGATGTCGCTGTAGATACAGTAAAAACTGGAATGGGCGGGGCTACTGGTAATAAGGGAGGCGTCGCCATCCGCCTGCTGTTCCACACCACCAGCATCTGCTTCGTCTGCTCCCACTTTGCTGCTGGCCAGTCTCAGGTTAAGGAAAGGAACGACGACTACAACGAGATCACTCGCAGGCTCAGCTTCCCCATGGTAGCAGCAGTTATTGTCACAAACCGGTAACCCACTTTTACCTAGCCGGCTTTGAGACCATTGTTATCCTCTCCCGCAGGGCCGTCTGCTGTATTCGCATGATTATGTGTTCTGGTGTGGGGACTTTAACTACAGAATCAGCCTTCCCAACGAGGAAGTAAAAGAGCTCATCAGACAGCAGAACTGGGATGCTTTAACAGCTGGTGATCAGTTGTTGGACCAAAAAAATGCAGGAATGGTAAGATCTGTTGCATTGAAATAGTTTCTTGCTTTAGCTGAAACAAATCTGACCTGTGATGACAGAATACAGAAAAAACTCCCCACCATGACGGCAAATTTGACAGAGAAATGTAAACGTTGGGGAAGAAATGCTGTGTTTTCCTTTGATTAGTTAAACATGGAGTGCATCTGCTGAAACGGGTGCAAAACCTAATGAAGCACGGCCTCGTATATCTTTGCAGATCTTTCGAGGCTTCATTGAAGGAAAGTTGGATTTCGCCCCCACTTACAAGTATGACCTCTTCTCCGAAGATTATGACACCAGTGAGAAGTGCCGCACACCAGCGTGGACCGACCGCATCCTCTGGAAGAGGAGAAAGTGGAACTTCAACCGAACAGGTGAGATGGAGGGCAGCTTGCATAAACTATATTGATTTTAAGCATTTTTTTAGCTGGCATAAACAGAAATCCAAACATCCAACTCAGAGATCCGTCTGGATGTTTCTGTGTCTGTATCAGCTGAGGAGATGAACATGGTGGGTGCAGCCTCTACATCTGCAGAGGCGGAGGAGAATCCAGAGCAGGCCTGGAGCCCTGGGACTTTGAAGTACTACGGCAGGGCTGAGCTCAAGACCTCAGATCACAGGTAATTATCTTGGCATCTGTTGTCAAAATCAATCACTGGGCTTTATTATAGTGGTTAAACAGGAAAATCCTGACAAAATCCGTCTCTCCAAAGACCTGTGGTAGCAATAATAGATGTGGACATCCTAGAGGTGGATCCAGAGGAACGACACCAGGTCTACAAAGAAGTCATCGCTCTGCAGGGGCCTCCAGATGGAACCATCTTGGTCTCCCTTTGCTCCTCTGGGCCTGAGGACTATTTTAGTGATGAACTCATCGATGAGCTGCTTGATAAGTTTGCTAATTTTGGGGAAGTCATTCTCATCAGGTGAGCTGCTAACACAGAGATCCATATATGTGCTGCTTTAGCCCCTTATTGCCAGATAACTGTTTGTTTGTTTAATGCAGGTTTGTTGAGGAGAAGATGTGGGTGACCTTCTTAGAAGGTTACTCTGCTCTGGCCGCGCTGTCTCTCAGTGGTTCCACCGTAGGTCGCCGCTTCTGTAAATTGTTCAAATGTTTGTGTTTTTTTTCTGGGTAAATACGATAGAAACAAACCTTGCTGATTGATACTACAGGTGCTCGACAAGATGATTGACATCCGCCTGAGGAGTCCAGGATGGATCAAGAGTCTGGAGGAGGAAATGAGTGTGGAGAGGATCTGCGGCAGCATTCCCACTTCAGCCAGCTCCACTTTACTTGCTGAGGATGTGGACGTGGGTGATGACGATTACGATATGGAAGGTCAGAGGTTTTGTAGATAGTTTTTTTTTTTTTTTTAGAGTTGACGTTTGTAGATAATTTTTAAACCATCTACGTGTTTCATTCTCATCCGCTGCTCCAGGTGATGTGGATGACGAGGAGGAAGACATCCTTCCCCAGCACCTGCAGCCTGGAGCAGGTTCCGCATCTGGATCTTCACCGCTGCCGTCCCCCCGCAGCAGTCCGTGTCCCTCTCCTACACATGGGGAACCTGCTGCACCCAACAGACCAAGCCGTGGACAGCAACCCCCTCGACCGTCGCAAGGTATTATTATTACACTGAATAGCAAATCACTCCACTACAGAGGTGTTCCACATATCGCCTGCATAGTTGGTAGGTTCCACCTGCTGGCATGTAAACTGTGATTTTATTCTGTTTTGTAAGAAGTGGAAGCAGATTTAAGTCCATCTTCACAATGGAGAGAAATACCAGGTAATAAGATGGGTGATGGTGCAGTTGGTGTGTTTTTCCACTTGTTTGACTGTAGAGTAGTGGTTCCCTCTAAAGCACATGTTGTTCTGTGGTGTTGATGTGTGCTGTGCAAAACTCAAAGGTGTTTCAGGATTTAATTATAGTTTGATATGACTTTTATGTAACACCACTTCACCCTGGACTGAGACTTTCTAGGATTATATATTCTTTTGATATTCCACCACTCTGCTCCTGCCATGGCTGTCCCATTTACACTACGGAAATCCCTCACAATCTGGTCCATTTTTCTTAAGGTTTCTGTAGCTCTGTCTTCAGCTTCACTGTGGTGAACCAAAAACCCTCAACACTTTAATAAGCAGCATGAAAGGATGCATGCTTGTATGAGTAGCACATCAACTGTTGCATGAAAGATCTAACGTCACCAATTTATGAGTCAGAATTACCAAAGACTGAAATTAATTCAAAATAAATACTGTGATCCAGTCCTCCTTTTTTTAGTTGAGGCAGTTCTCAGAGATAAGACACCATCTTGACATCATGGCTTTTTTAAATTTTTGTTTGCCAGGCCACTCTCTCAGACTAATGCAGATACAGAATGCTGCAGCATGATTTTTATTTTATATAAACCTGATGGCATAACTTCAGTTTTAGCATTCCTCTACTGGCTTCCTGTTAAGTTTAAATTCCATTTGTAAAATTCTTTTATATGCCTTTAAGTGTTAAAATGGGCTGCTCCCTTCCTGTTTTTTTTTTAAAAATGCTCCATCCCTACATATGGTTCGGCATTCTTCGATCAGCAAAGTGGCTGCTTTTATCTCTCCCAAATTCTCATTAAAAACCTAAGGAAACGGAGCCTTTGCAGCTGTGGCTCCTAAGCTGTACCTATTTGTTACAATACCAAGTGGTGCTGTAACCTGTGAATTTGCTCATCTAGGTGGAGCAAATCATGCAAATCATTGACTGAATGCAATCAGCAGGTTTTCCTCAGATAAAAAACTTTTAACAAAATCTGACTTTATGATCTGATTGGATTGTCTCTAAAGTGCCTTAAGAGGACATGTTGACATTTTGCGGTTATATAAATAAACTGAAGTGAATTTCTCCGGTATGACTAATAAAGTTTATTGATTTATAAATTGTGAAATAACCTGACAATGGTGGTTAGGAACGCTTCATCTCTTAACTTAAAAAACAAAATATATATGACTCGGCAAGCGACCCGCATTAAAATCGCCTCGGCTCTGATCGGCATGCAGTGGAAACACCAGACTCAGGCTCACTAGCTAAACTACGTGATGACTTAGAGCGCAACATACATCATCAAAGCATTGCGCTGTTTTTTGTTAAAAACCAAGCCTAAACAACTTGCTTTCGAGAAACATGGCACAGTACTGGCAAGATAGAGATTTGAGAGCTCCTTATGTTCCACGGAGATGAGCAGATTTGTCACCATCTACTATATAAAGAAGACTCGTCAACATCAGCAGTGTTCACCCAGTTTGATGCCGTCATCAGACACGCAGTGGTGAGGGACAGTGCCCACGCAGCTTGCCAGTAGGGGGTTAGACCCGGCTTCTCGGTCAAATGGAAAAAAAGCCAAAAGTCGACCCGGGTTTTCAATGTGAAAGCGGCTTTAGTGAGCAAGCGTCTATACCAAAACGCAGGGACTCAGATGCAGCAGCTGCAGCCTGTCTGCAGTCACAGAACCGAGCGAATCTCCTCTCTTTCCTCTTTGTATGTGAGTCAACCATGCTCAAAGCTTCCACTGATCGTTCCTGAAATAAAAATCTGAATTCAGCATATTTTTTTCTTTAAAACTGCTCCAATGAAATTGAATAGTGTCATAGGCTATATTCACACTGCAGCCTGAAGTGACCCAAATCCGATTTTTTTTGGCTCATATGCGACCTGAATCTGATCTTTTCATGGCTGTCTGAACAACGCAGATTTTTTCCAATGTGACCCAGGCCACTTGGCTATGTGATACTGAATCCGATATGAATCTGATCTTTTAAAATGCGACCTGTGTCTGAACTGCCAGGTCACATTCATCCGACCTGAACGCCATTTATACCCAACAAAGGTCGCTATTCTGGGTCTTGCTAAGAAGAAGCGGCAAGAAAAACAACAAAAAAGATTGCTAGATGTGCTCCGGCACTACCATCCATGTTCACTTCCGTAAACACAGAGCACGCTGGTCTGTGACGTCATTGCATCCTCTACTGCGCATGCGGGACACTTGCGTTGTGTGACTGCAGTTCACATAGGAGATCACATACAATTTGCATATATTTGGAAATGTGAACGCAAACGCAAAAAAATCGGATTTCACAAAAAAAATCGGAATTGAGCATCAAGGCCTTAGTGTGGTTTCTGTGACTCTAGGGGACATGCCCACAGCGTCTCAGGGCAGAGAAAAGTAATGTTTTTTTTATTACTTTTTAAACCAAATTTTATATGCTTAGCTGTGTTTTCAGACATTCAAATTTTGATGGCTGATTAATAAAACATATTTCTGTGTTGCGATAAAGTGAGGACACTTATTCATACTTTGCACATTCTTTAACCACTGAGAGTGAAGCTAGCTGCAGGGGCGTATGGTGTATTTACTTTCACTGGAAAATGACATGTTTGGACCAGAATCATAAAACTCACACTTTTGCGACATTTTTAGCAGAGTGGCACCATGGATGGCACTTACTTTATTTGGTTGGGCAATTATCACCCCAGTTTACCCTCTGGCTCCTCCACTTGGTAGGGTTAGAGTTATGCTATGATCTTTTATCATTCTAATGTACTTCTGCTCGAGCAGAGCGGGATTGTTTGATTAAGCTTCTTGGTAAGAACCCTGTTGTTGCAAACAGAGCAGTGACAGGACATGTGCACTTAATTATTGGAGCACTTACAGCCCAATGTGAGCATGATTATGTTGACTTAACATGATGCCAGCCAAGTGAGAGCCCACCTAAGTTCTGAGGATCTTATTAAACAAGCCAAGCCATGGATCAGCTGCCACTGTTGGTTCTACGCTCTTCTGTTTCAACACCACTGACCAGTCAACCAACACCATACCACCATTTACTCGTAGCTTTGAGTCCTTCTTTTCACATGTAAGATTTTTGCTACTCCCTGTGGTAACTGTCTAGTTTCTACTGATATATAATGTGACAGTGAAGTCTAAGTCCCGCTTAAAGTGGTCTCAAGAATACCAGTAATAGGTTTATTATTGTGATGTTGTAGAACCTTTAGTTACCCTTCCTTCTGAAAATGTGTCCTAATAAAAGGTGAGAAGTATGTAAAATAAACAGCATTCAAAAATGTGTTTACATAATTTAATGTAAATATAATTAGCTAATTTGCACTATTTTTCCTTTAAGGGCCTCCTGTAGACTTCCAGCCTGGTGCTCCCACAGGTCTAGGCCTGGAGCCCAAACGGCCTCCTCCACCTCGGCCCAACGCCCCTCCAGCCAGACCAGCTCCGCCTCAACGCCCTCCACCACCTTCAGGTAGCATTCTTTAAGCCTCTTTTATAGTAAAATGATAAGAAGCATTATTGCTTTTGTCAAGTTAGAAGCAATAAAACATGATCCCACTGTGGAGATGTTGATAAACCACTTTGAATATTTGCATTGTACTGAGATGGTAACTTTTCATTTTTATCCCTATGCTTTGCTAAACGTCTGAAGCTGGCATGAGCCCTCAGCCAGTTAGAAAGGACTCTGGAGGTAAAGTTAAAGATCCGGAATGATATGTCTAATTGCTTTGTGGTTGAATTTCTGTAGATTTAAATAGTCTAAAATCGAAAAATAATAATAATTATTGTAGTTCATGTTTTTGCAAGTCCTGAAAAATTTCCTGCATGGAGAAGATATTCTTAAATGTGATTTAATTTAGTTTTACGTTACAGTAGATGAATTTAAGACCTGGGCTTTTGGGTTTAGGTGAAAAATGTGACTAGTCTTTATTTTTGTCTATGAACATTTGCATTTTGTTGCAATTTGTTTTAAAGAAAAACAATTTTTTTCCCTCTACAAGACAGTGGCATTTATCCAAACCCACTGCATGGTAGGAGGGGCAGTGAAGGCATTTGTCCAAATCCACTGCTTGGTAGGAGGAGCAGTGAAGGCATTTGTCCAAACCCACTGCTTGGTAGGAGGGGCAGTGAAGGCGTTTGTCCAAATCCTCTGCTTGGTAGGAGGGGCAGTGAAGGCGTTCGTCCAAACCTACTGCTTGGTAGAAGGGGCAGTGAAGGTAACAAACCAAGAATTTTGAGGTTGTTGCCTCAGTTTTAGATCTAGTCATCAATGTCATTGAGGTTGTTTTGACATTGATGGTGTTGAACTGTGGGTAATTTTAGTCTTGTTTGTAGATGTAACTGAGATGTGTTTAGTTGTCTGATGCTAAATGCAGGGTAACCCTGAAATGTTAATAACCCCCCCCCAAAAAAACACAACCAATGGAAGAGGCTTATGCGTCCTTAACTTGGAGCATTCTTCTCTGCTTTTTATTGCAACATCAGATTAAGTGTCCGATCCGTACCTTTTAGTAGGGCTACAGTCAAGATTGTACGGTACAGATGCATCTGAATTAATGACAACATTGTAAAGAAAAGTTTGTTTGTTCGTTCGTCGTGTCCTGCTTCATCCTCGATGGGGTCGTAGGTGCAGCAGTCTCAGCAGAGACTCCCAGCCTTCCCTGTCAACAGACACCTCCTCAAGCTCCTCTTGGAGAAGCCTGAGGTGCGCCAAGGCCTGCAGAGAGACATAGTCTTTCCAACATGTCCTGGGTCATCCCCTGGGCCTCCCCCCGGTGAGGCGTGCCTGGAAAACCTCCCAAGGGAGATGTCCAAGCCACCTCAGCTGACTTCTCTGGATGTGGAGGTGAAGTGGCTGTACTCTGAGCCCCTCCCAAATTACCGAGCTCCTCACCCTATTTCTAAGGGAGTGTCCAGCCACCCTGCGGAGAAAAGTAATTTCAGCCACTTGTTTCCGGGATTTCTCTCTTTCGGTCATGATCAAGATTTCACGAGTACAGTTGAGGGTTGGACTTAGACCGACCCGTAAATCAAGAGCTTTGCTTTTTCACTCAGCTCTCTCTATACGAAAGCAGACCAGTGCAGTGGGTCCACCGATCCATCTATCTATCTCATTTTCCATTCTCACCTCACTTGTGAACAGGACTCCAATATACTTGAACTCCTCTACTTGAGGCAGGTAGTCTCCTCCAAACTGAAGGAGACAGGCCACCCTTTTCTTGTTGAGAACCATGACCTCAGATTTGGCGGAGCTTATTCTCATCCTGGCCGCTTCACACTTGGTTGCAAACTGCCGGCTGTAGGTCTTGAAAAGAGGGGTCAGGCCAACACACGTCATCTGTAGAGATCCTGGACCACACCCCCTCAGGTCCTTGGCTGCACCTAGAAATCCTGTCCATAAAGGTGATGAACAGGACCTGTGGCAGAGAACAGCCCTGTCAGAGTCCAACTTGCACCTGGAACAGTTCCTAATTAATGCCAGTAATGCACACTGAATTCCTGCTCCACTTAGAGATTGGATGGCCTCTAGTAAAGGGTCCCAGACTCAGTACTCATAAAGCACTCCCCACAGGGCACCAAGAGGAACACGGGTGAGTGCCTTCTCCAGGTCCACAACACATGTTGATCAGTTGGACAAATGCCCATGAACCCTCGAGCACCCTGCGGTGGCTGAAAGCTGGTCCACTGCCAAGACAAAAACCACACTGCTCCTCCTGAAGCCAATGTTCAACAATCAGCCAGATTCTCCCCTCTAGGACCCTGGCATAGGCATTTCCAGGGAGGCTGAGAAGTGGGATCCCTCTATTGTTGGAACACAGCCTTGTTGTATTAGCCACAAAACATCCAGAGCTCTAAGGTACTCGGGCCTCGTCCACCCCTGAGACCTTGTCACTGTGGAGTTTTTTGACCACCTTGGTGACTTCAGCCTGGGTGATGATTGAATTTGATCACAAGGACCCATCTCTTGACACAGAAGTCGTGTCAGATCCTCAAAGTATTTGTTCCACCGTCCAACGATGTCCTCTTTCAAGGTCAGCAGCTCCCCACTCCCACTGAAAACAGTGTTGGCAAAGCACTGCTTTCCCCTTTTCACTGCACAGTTTGCCAGGAATGCTTTGAGACCAACTGATGAGCTTTTCTCTAAACTCCTGCTAGGCCCAAATTTTTGCCTCCACAGTGGCACATTGGCCTCAGAATATCTGTTTTCTGCCTCAGGAATCCCATAAGCCAGCCAGGCTCTATTGGACTCTCTCTTCAGTTTGAGGGCATCCCTTACTGCCGGTGTCCATCACAGGGTTCGGGGTTTGCTGTAGACCTTACAGGTACTGCAGACCTTAAGGCCACAGATACAGGTGTAAACAATGGAGACAGAGAACATGGGCTACTCAGACTCCATGTCTCCAGCCTCTCCCTGGCATCTCGGAGAAGTTCTCCTGGAGGAGGGAGCTGCACATATACCTGACTGAGGGCTCCACCAAACATTCCCAACAGACTATCACTACTCAATTGGGCCTGCGGAGTGTAATAGTGATCTGCTTTGGTTTCCTTTCTGCTGCAAAGGACCAAAAAGCCCCGCTCTTCCTCAGCAAGATGCTCCTGCAGGTGAGTGCCAGCATGTATTACAGCATTATTAGCATACATGCTTTTTACAAGGATGTCTGTCTTGATTCCATTACAGTCTGTCTTCATGTGACATTTATATGCACTGGTGATAATGTGGTGAGGTTATACCTCTCACTCCTTACCATCATCATGTTTTGTGTGCTTGTGTTCCCACACACAATGTTCTTGTCCTTAGGTGAAGGATAAAGTGTGGTTGTGCAGCCTATCAGCGACTTTGCCTTTCTGCACCTGAGCTGTTTCTATGGTGTTTCTGGTTAGCTGATTCCCTCTCAGATAGCGCGGGGCTGTGCGGATGGCAGGGTTAGCTTACCATTGGTGACAGTATATAGTTGGATAACACTAGAGAGGACATTCAAGTGGTGTGGGAATACGTTTGAAGGCTCTTAGAGTGAAAGGTGAGAAGAATCCTTTATGTTTGGTGAGAAGTCGATTTACTAAACAAGACTGGCTTCTCTTCCAGACCTGGAGCTCTGGAAGGGTGTCTTTGGTAGTTATGTCAGCCAATAAAACCGTCTGTGTTGAATGAAATACTTGAAATTTCCATTTAATTTTGTCTTTATTTTATTTTCTTATTAAAGAAAATAAATGTTTTCCTTAAGCGCTTCCACATATCAAACCTCAGTAATACGGCTTTAAGGTATTTAACTATTATGGTTTTGGTTTGTGTGTTTTCTCCTCAGGTCGAGGCCAAGCAGGAGCTCCGGCCCCTGGAGGGGCTCCCAGACCAGTAAGTCACCAGCCACATTTTATAGCCAAAATATTCTCTGTGTCAATGCTTTATATATATATATATATATATATATATATATATATATATATATATATATATATATATATATATATATATATATAGTATAATAATTTCCAACAGTTATTTATTTTTTTATTTTTTGCTTGTTTTATTTTTGTCAATTCAAACATTCCCCTGTTTCAAATTTTTTATTTATAAATTCTATATCTTGAATATAATACTTTTTGTATCAGTTTTTCCCTTTGAATTTCCTGAACAAAGACTTAAAGCACCATTTTGTAGATGACTAACTTGTTAAAAACACAATTTAATTTTTAGTCGGGTAACCATTGGATTGTACATTACCGTTTTTTGTATATCTAACTTTTTAAAATGAAAGTTTATCTTTGGTTTTATGACAAAAAAAATCTATCCTTTTCTGCTTTTCTTGACATCCTGCACTCAGAAAACTAACTCTACCCACTCCCACACCTCTTCCAATAATATATAAATTAGGATTTAAGTAACTTGTCCTTATTTCAAATAGTGCAACTTTCAGATTACATTATTTTATAGAATTTAAGCTACATACATCAGAAGAAAGACTGTACCACTGACCCAACTGGAAAAGCCCCCAAAGACCCACCTGAAAAAGCAGGTGTTTCACTAAACACAGAGTTTCTTATAGTTTTTAATGTATGTTTTTTTTTTTTGATTGGCTTAAGGTTCTGTCTACCTCCAACAATAAAGAAGTTGTTACTGTTTGCCTTTGAAAAAAATTTTAGTGTTATTTTAAAAAAACATCAGCCATCTAACTGCCTTATGAAGTAATTTTTTTTTTCTTCTACACATTGAATTTTGATCGTCCAGAATATTCCTCCTCGAGCCGGAGTGATCAGTATGCCCCCTCAGTCTCGGCCACAGCCTCCCTCTCATCCAGGTGCTCCAAGGCCCATTCCAGATGTGCACCCCGGAGCCCCTCGGCCTATCGCAGACACCCACCCTGGAGCCCCACGGCCTGTGCCCAGTGCACAAGTTAAACCACCTGATCTTCCGTTGGGTAAACAAACATTATCTTTGAGCAGAGTTTCCAGGAAAGACAACAGCTTGTTATTCAAAGGGAACATTTCCAAATATTGATAACATCAATATATGCATTAAAAACCCTCATTATTATATGTTTTAAACGTAAAATTTTACATTTTACGATGTTCTTTAGTCACTGAATCATATGATTCTGCTGTAAGACTAGCAGACAAAATAAAAGGGAAGACCATCAAAGAAAGACTTCTTCCACACAGATAGAGGTTAATAATCGAAATTTCTTTTTTTTTACACTTGTGTATACAAAATGTCAAAATAAATCTGTCTAAGCCTAAGTCTAATTTTCTTTTATATTTGAAAGTGACCTTTAGAGCTGCAGAGTTTAAACACTGGTAAGCCCTGACCATTAAGGTGTTTTAATCCTCATCTCTGTCCCATTTAGGTCCTCCACCATCCGGACCCCCTCCCACAATGAAACCCCAGGCTCAGTCACCCATGCAGCCTCAGCAAGCTCCCCCGTCGGCTCAGTCACAGCTGCCACCTCCAATGCAGCCAACGCTTCCTGCTCCTATGCAGCCACAACAGGCAGCGCCTCCCACTGCAGCCACTCCACCTGCTGCAGCCACTCCCACCGCTGCTTCTCCTGGGCCGCAGCAGAGCCTGGCGTCCCCTAAACCCCCACCTCGCTCCCGCTCATCTCATGCTCTGCCACCTGAAGCTGCCAAATCTGAGTCTGCCCCAGCTGCACAGGTTGGTGTCCGCTTTGTTTGATTTTACTATGGCAATTTTAGCAACTGAACAAGCTAGAGTTTTATTACTAATGTCTGTTTCATAGATTTATGCCCTGATTTATGGGTTGAATTATATATTTTAGAGGAAAATTGTTTTTCTTCTTCTTTGACTCGCTTTAGATGAGTACAGTTGTGTGTCTTTCTTCCTACTTTTGTCTCTCTGATGCATTTGTCTCTTTCTCACAAGCCGGAGAAGCCATCAGGGTGAAAGGTACTTTCTATCAAACCATTTCTTTGTCTCATCCTCCAAAACACAGCAGTCCTCTGCTCTGATGCTATTACTCCTTGTGCATTACATGCAGTAAACCCTCTTCCTTTACTTTTTTCTTATGTTTTCGTTGATTTATTTATTTTAGCAGTCCAAATGCATTATTTAGTTCCAGGCCTTATTGGCCTTATTTTTTTAGGCTCATAAAATGTTTTTTTTTATTTTTTTCGACTTTTTTTAATGGTAAAATGTATTGCCGCATCCCCTGGTTTGGTCCTTCGTATGATCTCACTTTGCTCCTGAGGGATGGAGTGAGCACATATGAAACAGCTGCATTAATTGTTTAAAAAAAAAACTATGAAGTTGTTTCAAAATCCATTCATCTGTGTTGAATTTGGACGCTGAATGTTGGTGGTGATACATGTATCAGTTTTTTATTTTTAGTCTGTTCATATTAAAGGTGCCCTGTGAAGGAAATGCTTCCCAAAATAATATAACCTGAATTTTACTTTTCAAATTGAATTTAACATAATTAAATTAGCAGAAAATATTTTATTCCAGAACATTTCAAAGGGTATCTTTAACTTTTTGTCCCCATACAGTGCCTTGCAAAATAGTTCTCACCTGTGTAACTTTTTGCTCATTTGATAGATCGACACAAAGTAGAGAATGATTGTGAGTAGAGATCTATTCTAACACTTGGACACGCCTCTATTAGCTCTGTAGGGTTAATATCTATCTCACCCTGAAAGGTAAAACTCTGACCAGGTCCTATCCCTAAATCCAGGTAAATTAAAGCATCTCTGCATCATGATGCTACCACTCCTATATTTAATCGAGCTGTTGGTGTATCCAGGGTAAAATTCCAGACATAGCATTTGCATTGGTGTCCTCTGATGATAAACCAACAGTGGGACTTCATCGAGCGTCTCTTGTATAAACATTAGTGTTCTCACCAGGTAAATCAACCTTACCAATACAGAAAGTGGATAAAATGCTTCAAATAGGTTTGATAGTCAAGCTGAACATTATAACAATTTTTAGTGTTGAGCAGGGTTGTTTTAACCTGATCTAATCCTACATAAACCAATCTTGTTTTTTTAAATTCAACTTAAAGATGGTTAACAGAGGCACAGAGTTTATGAAGCTTTTTACAAATGAAATGCAGGTAGGATCTATTTTAGTGCAACAGATTCAAAGAAGAAAATCCATGAAATATTACATTTGCATGTCACTTTTTGATTCAGGGTGGATTGTTAGAGGCTTTGCGTATTTGTGACTACTTTTGATTGGGGAAATAGGAGAGCTTCTTTTCTCTCTCTGAGTGTAGAAATGGGCTGCAGCTGCAGCTGCTGCATCTGACTCCCTGATTGGTTGATGCGGCGTGTCGAGCAGCAAAAGTTCAATTTTTCCATCTCGAGCAGCAGCGCGTCGTGCGCGTCAGATACTTGAACGCTCAGATGCACTGCTTCTGCTGCTCAAAACGCGCCACGGGACATTTAGCTGCGCCTTGACGTGCGTCAACCATTGACTTTGCATGTAAACTCGCTGCTTCTGCGGCTCCTGCTGCGTTCAGTGAACGCAGCATAAGTGTTTTAGAAAAGAGGGGGACTCACTCACTGCTTGCTGAAGACAGTAAATTTAAAGCAATCAATGATTTCACCTTTCCACCAAAGTCTAAAACAAGAAATATATAGTTGCTAGATTTGTCACTAGTTGCTGTAAAAAAAATAAATAAATAAAAATGTTGCTACATATAGTGAGAATGTTGCTAAGTATGCAACAACATGTTTACCTGCCTTGAACCAATGACAGTCTTAACGACACAGGTGCATGTCTACACTAAGGTTGGGCGACTAGATGAATCTGTCTACCATTGATGATAGACTCAGCCCTTCAACAATTGTTTTTTTTTTTAAAGAGTGATTTTTGTTTCTTTGTTGGACCTACGTGTTAAGACGCAGCCCACGACAAACAAATAAAGGCTCTTGTTAATGGTACACACTAGAGCCGGACCAAATTTTAAAGGCCGATGTTTTTATTCGCTGCTTTGAAAAAAACAATATCTAATGTACTGGCCGATATCGGATATATGTCCACCAAAATATTAATATATATTAAAATATAATCTCTTCTAAAATATAATCTCTTATTTCATACAGAGGCAGCTTAAACAGAGATAAAATGCTAATATAATCGCCAAACCTGGTGCATATAAAACTCGTCTGCTCTCCTTAACACACGTTTCCACAAGAACATTTGTTGTCATGGAGCACTAAAGTTTAGTTTAGTGCTATGTACAGATTGTCCCAGCTGAGCTGTGGATCACTACAGCTCCCCCATAGCTACCACAGGCCTCCTGACTACTATTCTGATTAACACTTTGGGGTATTTTGCAGTTTTCCCATCAGCACGATTGCTATTTCCTCATTAAAAGATTGAATCTAATTTGGACTTGGTTATAGAAAATTGTCATGGATGTCATTTTGGGTCTCAGCGTAAAGAGAGTGGATTACAAAGTCATGCCGAAGTTTACAGATTTTTATTAATTAAAAACATTGTACATCATATTTCTCAAACTCCCAATTATTCTCTACCTTGTGTTGGTCTGTTCCAACCACATTGAGATAAGTGTTTATGGTGTATAAGAGCTCCTGCAGAGCACTGTATGGTTCATTAGGTCACATGTTTGTATGTAAACATCTCAGTAATATTACTCTGTTTTGTTTACATCTGTTGTTGCCTCTAATACACATTTTCTCTGCTTTGCTCCTGTTTAGAGCAATGGACTAAACGGATTCCAAAGAGAAGCACAATGGAAGCCCGACCCCTTTGACTCTCTTACATCTGACCTGTTCTCCTCTTCCTCATCCTCCCGGCTCACCACCCAATCCCTTAACAGAGGCTCCTCTCTCTGTGCTCCACCCTCTCTTCCTTCATTCACACATTCCTCCTCCACTCTCCCCTCGTCATTCTCCTCCCAGTCATCCGCTTTATTTGATCTTGAGTCCCTGAATTCATCTTCCTCATCCTCACTCTCCACCCCGTCGCCGTTTGCCGCCACGCTCCTCCCGCCGCCTCCTGTCCCATCTCGCAGCCGCTCTCAGGAGATTCTTCGTGCCTCTCCGAACCCCTTCCAGGCTGAGCCGCTGCCGGCCCGGCCCAGCAGCACCAATCCCTTCACGGGCCCCCTGCTGCAGCAGCAGCAGCCTCGTCGTGCTTTGACCCCAGACTTCAGCGTCCAGCATCAAAGCCAAAAATCCGACCTTCAGAGGACTTTGTCTGCTTTCTCTCAGCCGCTCGTCCCCACCCCAGCAGCTGCAACCTCCTCCCAGCTCAGTCGGACCGTGTCTCTCTTTGGACCATCACCCAGTCTCAATCCGACCCAAGCTCCCCTGCTGCCACTGGCTCTCGCTCCGTCTCCCGCCCCCACATTACCGCCAGCATCGGCCTACTCTCTCCCTCCAGCTCTCGCCCCCCGTTCTCAGCCACCTCCTCCTTCAGCAGGAAAACAAACGAAGCAGTGGGTCACATTTGATGAGGATTTGAAATTCCCACCAACAACAAAAACACAACAGAACCCCATATTAGGTCCCAGTCCTCTGCCGACCCGCTCTGTGTTTGACTCTGAGCCTGAGTGGTTGTCCTCCTTACCGCCTCAAATCCCAACCAGAACTGCTACCAATAACCCAAATCCCCTGCAGGGTCCCAACAACAATGGCTTCTTTTCCTAGTTAGTCCGCAGAAACAAACATTAACCACTCATCAGATGTAAGAGGCATATCTATATGTATAGATCTATGATAAATGAGTAAATGTGTTTATGTAAAAAAGACAATATTTAAGAGTTATAGACCCCCCCCTAAGTGTTTCAGGAGTTTATATCTCTAAACAGTATTGTGATAAATGTTGGCACCCAGCTTTCAAGCTATTGTCATTGAATTTACTAAAACTCACCGTTTTGTTTGGATCTACGGCAGAAAACACGCTCCTGTCTTCAGTATGTTTCATATAAAGTATATCTATATCCACAAGTCATGCGTTTACGCACCTGTGCAATATCAGAGCATACTTGTGTGGCTGTGCTGATGTTTCCTATAAATACATGTGGCTTTGCAGGTAACTCACCATTTTTTGGACTGATCAGAACAACAGTTGATCTCTAGGTTTCACTTTATCGTCTGATTGCAGGATTCTCCTTTTGTTTCCTGTGGAAGAAGCTCAGACCTGAAGGCCATTTTATTTCTGAATGTAATTTCATTTGCACTGGATTTGTCTGCAGTGTGTGTTTGTTTGTGTGTGTGTGTATAGCACAAGTTGTTTGCCAGATTAACCAGATTGATCCTCTGTAAAATCACCTCATCCTCTCGATAATAACTGCTTTATTCAGTCATCATTATTCATCTGTAAGCTGATATTCCTGGTGTTTTGTAGCTCAGCATCCAATCCTATACATAGCAAACCTGTGTATAAATGTATGCTTGATTATACAGAGTACTTGCTGGATGTATGGGTGTGTTTGTGAGGACCAAGTCAGCGGGTTTAGCCCGATAATACGAATATGCACTGAGACTCTGTGTGCGCCCTCCTCTTTTCCTGCATTTTGTTTTTATTTTAATGGTTTATCCAAAGTATCGATCTGTTCTATAAGAAATAATTTTTAAGAAATGCTGCTAGCTGGTGTGTTTAGTTGTACTTCAACGGTTAGCACTTTTTTTTGTTTACTTTATTATCATTTCGAGGAGCCGCTGCTCTCGTTATTGTTACCTTGGTGGGAAGTGATGTGCTGTGTTTGATGTGCATTTCGTCTGTTGGTTTATTTTGTTGATTTGAATGTGAGCGGGAGTGTGTGTACAAAGTTTTAAGAGTAGAAACCATCATATTTCCTGACAGACTCAAAGCTACCTATCTATGCTCCCTGTACGTTTGCTCCTATCAGTCAGCAGCTATTTATCATTCAATAAAGGGACTTTTAAAGAAAGTCACTTTTTGACTTAATCAGACCACATTTCCAGATTTTAGACAGTTATCAAAAAGGGTTTATTCTAGGTATCCTGCAATGAGCAGTCAGTTGTTTTAGCAGTTGCTGATAAACAGGGTTTTGCTAATATTTTAAAATGAATTAATTACAGAGAGAAGGTTTTAAATCACAGGAGTCTCTCCTGTTATCTGCAGTCAGACTTGCTCTCTTCAACCTGAATTAAACATATTCATATTTTGTCTTATAGAAAAGTTTTATTTTCACCTTTAACCTCTTTGTTTCCTTTTTTAACCCCTCACTTATACTGAAACCAGCTAACATCTCCGATCAGCATCAGTATCCACGCCCTAAAATGTTGTCATTGCCACCTCCTCTTTCCTATCTTCTCCGTTCACTGACGGCTATTCGTGAGCGTCCAGTCGGATGGCGGTCCGGCCAATTTTTAGTTTTCTACTTCCAAGCTGCTTTAAGTATTCAAACTTCCACATTTTGACTGTTTCTGCCAATCAGGAGGTTATTTTCTTGTGGAGCCTCAAATATTTATTTAAGCTGCATTCAGTGTTTTGTCCTGATTCACTCATTAGGTACTTGTTACCCAGGCAACCATGATGTAAACTGGGTCAGTAAGAGCAACTATCCATGCTTATACGGCCCATTTTCACTCAGAAATGTCTGGAAATCATTTTGTAAAGGGGGAAAAAAAAAGTTAAATTCCAGATTGTGTCCGTTAGGTATCGCTTTTTTCATGTAAACACGCAAAATTTAAAACACTGCATTTAAAAGTTAAAGGTGGAAGCAAGAGCATCAGGCCGACACGCCGCCTCTGAAATGTATCTGTTGTGTTTTTCCCCCAATGTGTGTATATCAACAGTAGATGACTAGCCAGGCCTTTACATGTCACATTTTTACTTTCAACATTTTTTTTTTTTTTTTTTAGGTAACAAATTATTCCCTTTGTGAGGTGGTTTCCCTTCCTATGGCTATAATCCATAGTAAATAAGAGTCTGTGTTGTGAATCAAACATATTCTGTATGTATTAAAGTGAATTCATGAAGCTGTAATTCATGTTAATATCCGATGTTCCATAGTTTACGTGCAAAGCAGATGACGCATTAATGTATGAGGCAGTTTGTGTTGTGCTTAAATAAATGTACATTGACTGAATCTTTGGTGTTAATTTTTTTTCAAACCATTTAATTAATTCAAAGCTTGAATTATTACTCAATAATAATCTATTAAGCTATTAACAAAAAGAGCACATTAGATTAAAGACATTCCTGGGAATCAGAGTAAAAGAAAACCAGTTTCAACCGTTTGGCAATGCGAATCGAGTACGTTTAATTAAATTACTGTCATGTGTGTCAATTTATTAGTTTATCTGCTTTCATTTTGTTTATAAAAGTCGAAGCATCTGGTTTTTCTCCACCACAAAAACTAATTATGGGACAAGCCTTTTGGCACAGACATCTGAACAGATACAGACTTGTCTCATTTGTAGACCAAAGAAGAGCTTTATTACCTTTATATATTTTCTTTGGCTCATTGTCATTTCCTTTATACCATTGGTGCCTCTGGCTGTTTAATGTCTGTGAAGCAAGGAAAGGGCGGTTCAAGTGAATTTCAAAATTATATTCTGTGCTTTAACTCTTATTTATTTGTCAAATTAAAACCAAATAAAGTCACATAATTGTGAGGTGGGAAGAAAGGGATTTTTGTTTGTTTTACAAACAAAAGTCTTGAAAGTCATTTAACATTTTCAAATGGTTAAAGTGTGAAGAAAGAACTATGTTTTTTCTGCAATTATAGCTGCAAGTCTTTCGCGCTCTGTCCACCGCTTTATAAATCTAGAGAATAAGTGGTATCAGTGTGAGGTGCAATGTTTTGGTTTTTTGTTTGTATTACCCAAATGGTTTTGAATTAAGGCCAAATAATTAATTTTAATCACATCTGGCCAGAGACACTTATTTTGCAATAATGCTATGTACCCTGCATGACTTGTGCCAAAAAAAACGTTTAGATGTTTTGCCATTAGGTTCCCCAAACCCAGATTCTAATTCTAATTGTGATACTGACTTTTAACTTCTAAATGAGATGTTGAAACCTCTGAGGCCTTTACACAACAGCTGTATTTATGATATAGGTCACTTCTAGTGGTCGGGTGGTTCACTTTATTTTGGGGGACTATCAGCATATGAGAAAACACCTTTTTTTTCAGTTTTCTTTTTCTTTTTTTGTAGTTAAAACGAAATTTTATTTCATTTTCACCTCAAAATTGTGCCCTAAATTAGGTTGGTCAATAACAGAACATATATCAAATTCGATGTTCATTGTAGTTTGTGTTTTTTATTGGAACAAAATCTGAAACACTTTAAGAGAAAATGTACCTTTAGTAAAGTATGAAATATCAGAATCAACTTAGACAAATTTTATTGTCATTTTGTACATACAAAACGAAATGACATTGCTTAAAGCCAACAACAATTAAACAAACTACCATTTAGAGTGCAACAGTGATCATCATATAAACAGTAAAAAAAGGAAAACCAGTTTAAAAGAAAGAAAGGGCATAAATGTGGAAAGGTTCAATGCAGTGTAAAATAAATATGGTGCAAATTGCAGTAGAATGTTGATTTCTAAAATGATTATAAAGGTTTTAGCCACATAGGTGGTGCAAAATCAAACAGATAAACTTAAAACTATATTTATTTATTTATTCTATTCATCACAGTTTCATCAAGAATTTAGTTACATAATAAAGCCATGACCACAGAGGAATAAATCACCCGAAATGACCCAAGCACTGCTTAATATCTTCTTCTTCTTCTTCTTTTTTTTTTTACCACTAGAGGGCAGTAAACCTGATAGCCTTAAGTTGGAAGGCTCCTTACAAATTGCCAGAAGAAGAAAGTTGAGCATTTTCCATTCAAGACTGCGCTTTTAAAAAAGTTAGAAATTCAAACATCCACGCATAAGAGGTCCACAAATAAATTTACAGGTAAGCTTCACTTTTTCCCAACCCTGAATAGAGTTTTTAACGTTAAACAGAAGTTAGGCTACACCCGTTGTTAGCAGCTACAACGACTAGCTAGCTAATGTTACTGATTTTGTTCTGGAAGAATCCACGCCCCTCTGTTACTATGGTTACTGTGTTGACCTGCGGATCCCTGTATCTGGACTACCCGCAGACCTTTTTTTGGCTACAACCGAACCGTCTCTTTCGGAGCTTGGGCTAGAGAAAGATGGTGCAGCTGCACGTGAAGCGCGGAGATGAGAGCCAGTTTCTGTTCAACACCACGACGGACGCTCCTGTGGAGGCTGTGATCCAGCAGGTTACAGACATTTACAACGGCAGGCTCAAAGTGGATAGAATCTGCTCAGGTACAAAACTATCCTCATTCAGCTCGTGCTTACAGTTAACGAACCACATCCTGCTCATCCAGCTTAGATACTTTGATCAATATTGCAGCTGCTTGGATATTTTGAAGATTTAGATCACGAAGGATTTTTCTAGATCAGTGGGAAGTGGGTACCAGTGCTGCCTTGCAGCAAAAAGGTTGTGGGTTCGATTCCCAGCCCGGGGTCTTTCTGCATGGAGTTTGCATGTTCTCCCTGAGCATGCGTGAGTTCTCTCCGGGTACTCCGGCTTCCTCCCACAGTCCAAAAACATGACCGATAGGTTAACTGGCTTCTCCAAATTCTCCTTAGGTGTGAGTGTGTGCGTGAATGCTTGTTTATCTCTGTGTTGCCCTGCAGGTGTACCCCACCTCTCGCCCATAGACAACTGGAGACAGGCACCAGCGACCCCACTTGGGATTAAGAGTGTCAGAAAATGGATCTAGATTATTACATAGAAGTTCTGATCCAGTTTTATGCTTTATGACACTACAAACGCTAATTTTAATGGGTTTTTATTTGCATTTTATGTGTTTTATGTAATAACAGCACAGAGGAGTGCATAACAAGTCAAATTGTGAAAGGACTCAAATAGATGCATGTTGAAATGTTTTGAATATGAAATTTGAGGCATGCATTTCTATTCAGATCTGTTACTTTGAAACCTCTAGATACTCCCAATTTAAACAGTTCAGGTAAATCCATCTCAGTATGGATGCGAAGGTTGCAAAGGTTTGTTGGAAAACTATTGGAAATCTGTAGAGATTAGCACGAATCAGGGGAAACTCTAGAGGAGGTGTACAGATCTGCTCAGGTGGGAGAAGCTGTTATGAATGTCTGCACACCACACTTTTATAATATTGATTTGGGAAGAGCTTGTAAACCGTGGTTTATTTTTCTTTCCCCTAATTGTATGCTTTCTTTGTTGTCCAAGCTACATTTAAACTGGTATTCCTTTTTTGATAACATCGTTATTCCTTTGTTTCTGTGTATTTTTAGAAATCCCAGAGTTAGCAGACCATGGTGTCACACTCCCACCTAACATGCAGGGACTGACGGAGGAGCAGATAGTGGAGCTGAAGCTGAAGGATGATTGGGAGGAGAAATGCATTCCAAGTGGAGGCGCAGTATTTAGGAAAGATGAGATCGGGAGGAGGAACGGACATGGTGAGAGACTTGGCACAGTATGGGGGGGGATTTTCTTCCATTACTGGAACAAAATTCAAAGCAAAAAAGATGAAGTTTTGTAAATTTGAAAAAATGTAATCCAGAAATTAAACTTTGAAAAAGTTCTTAATCATTTTATGATTTAAATTTTTTTATAGAATTACTTTTATTGGTTACGTTTTCTTCAAATTGCATTTTACGGATCACATTGTCCTCACTTCTGAGGTGCACTTTCCTCTGGAGTGACAAGCAAAAAGACATTTCTATTTGAAATTATTTGCTTGGATATCTGTATTGGTTTTGAAGTGAAGAGATCGTGATCTGTAAAACACAATTTGAAAAGAATGTAATTCATAAAACTCAAACTCAAAAATAAATGTGAAAATATTAAATCAATCAAGTTTGTTTTTGGTTATAAAAATCTTCTGTTTCACCTCACAAATGCTTTTTTTTTTCATTTCCATTAACAAACAAAGATCTTTGCTTGCACCAATATTGGAATGAAATTCACTCCATATGTCTGTGATGCAACCTTTGCAAACAAAAACAATGCAAACTATTTATTGTTGTCAAGGAAACATGACTGTCTTCAGAGACATGAGCCATTTCTCCATATGTGTACTTGTGTGTTCTAATGTGCTTGTGTACTCGTGTACAGCCTCAGCCCTAGTACTGTTCCAATTCACAAGAACAAGAAGACCGAGAACAAACGATGTCCCCGGATGTTGTTCTTGCCCCTCTCGCTTTACAGAGTACACATCAGAGCAGACTTCTCCGTTCTTGAGATTGATCGCTGTCCCAGCATGCACTGCAGCAGCAGTGGCTCAGAGTATTAAGTTAAAAGTTCTCTTTTGTGTTGCCGTTGTACGTTTTTAGATCATTTGAGCCGAGAAGATTATATTTTTAAGCATCATTATATGGTCCATTTACTGATTTTTTTTTTTTTTAATGGCGTAATAAAAACAAAAGTCACATTTTGAGGGGACCATGGCAACCAGCGGACCTCCGAGTCTAACAGCAGCCCTATTAATAGGGTGTCTTCAGTAGCCCTCTCTCGGCATAGCCGTGTGTGAAGGACCGCTGGCTATGATGGCGATTTTTTATTTTTATTTTATTTGGCGAAATGTTCATCTGATTTGTGTTTATCTGACTGTGTTATTATTATTTCCCCACTAAATAACAAAGTAAGAATTTATTATTATCTGGAGACTATTAATAACAGGTGGTGAAATGCGGCTCCAGACAAGCCGAGCCTGTGGTTAGGTAATGAGTGCGCTTCTGTTCCAGTTGACACATTTATGCTGCGTGCTCCCGTTCTCCCCAAGCACTTCCCTGTGTTGTTCTCAAGAAAATATTTGGCAAAGGCACAAATCCATATTTGCGTTCTTGTGAATTGAGAAACGGCCATGAATTTTCCCTGGAACTGCAGGATCTGACACGACATCATACTTTGCAATGAACTTGTCTATAAACGACTATTCAGTTTTTTTATATATACAGTATATATATATATATATATATATACCACAATTAAAAGTAGTCTTATTTTTTAGGTACACGAAGGTAGAAGTCATTTCCATTTTGTTCTGACTGTTTGATTCAATTCTGTGAAATATGTTCTTATTCTAGCCCCAAATGATAAAATGAAGGAAGTGTTGATTAGGACAGTGGAGGAGGCCAAAGCACTCATCTCTAAAGTGAGTTTTAGTTCAAAAGCTACATGTTTATCTCTGATTTTACCTCATCATTGACCAAACACTCTCTGTTGTTCTGATTTTGCAGAAACAGGTCCAAGCTAATGTCTGCGTTACCATGGAAATGGTAAAGGAAGCGTTGGATCAGCTAAGAGGTGCCGTTATGATCGTGTACCCTATGGGTCTGCCTCCTCACGACCCGATAAGGTTGGAGTTGGAAGATCAGGAGGATCTGTCAGGGACGCAGGTAATCCTACTTTTCCATCCATCTCCTCATCCATCCCTCTGTTTGTCTTCATCATGCTCATAAAGAACTTTTGAATTTTTAGAAATCAGTCTATCAAAAAAATTGAATTGCATTTGAAAGCGTTAATGACTTTTTTAGAAAGTACCTGGTGTGATCTATTGTAGCCATTATAGTAGTAGCTTTTGAAACTATCTACCATATCCAGTTTTAATCATTTTTTCTTTTTTTATGTTTTCCCACCATCTTTTCCATCTGTCTCCTGTCCTCAGGCATCTCTACAGGTGATCACTGGGGAGGAAGGCCAGCTTTGGTGGGCTGGCAAAGAGATGCAAAGAGGGAAAAAACTCAAGGACTACATTGGAAGAAATGAAAAGACGAAGCTGGTGGTCAAAATCCAAAAGGTGAGAGTCTGTTATCTGTCAAGGGTAAAAATCCATTCATTCATCCACGGAAGAGCCTTCCTGATTAACCTGTTCCTATTCCACTTTAGAAAGGACAGGGGGCGCCAGCGAGAGAGCCTGTGGTCACTGATGAGCAGCAGAAACAGATGATGCTGCATTATTACAGAAGGCAGGAAGAACTGAAGGTGAGGTTTGGTAAAAATGAACCTCTATGCTGGATGGAGCCGTTCTGTATGTAAACCTAACTTTATTCTGATAACACTTTCAGAAACTGGAGGAGGCAGATGATGACAGCTACCTGGACTCAGAGTGGTCAAACAGACAGGCCCTCAAAAGACAATTTCAGGGACTTACTGATATCAAATGGGGGCCAAGGTAACACAGTGACGCTGAAAACCTGTCCGACGGATGTTCAAGGGAATTAAAGTTTACCTCTCTGAATGCAGCTGGTCAAGACTGGATTACCGTATATCAACCTGATACAGGTTTCCTCTGTCAAATGTCTCCCTATTAGTTGCTAATTTCTTAAGTGAAGAAAGAGCATGCAGGTTGCTTCACTGTGTCTAATAAAAGCTTTTTTTATTGAGTGAAAAAGTGATTAAACCTGATGTAAAAACCACACCATCTTTGTTCCCCTGTTTGTAAAACAAAAAAGAATAAAATGACTGTTTCCAAAGTTATCAGTGATGTTTCACAACAGAGAAGTTTGGCCTTTCATGGAGCGTGAGAATAAGGATGCTACACCTTTCCTCTCTTTGTCCCACAGTAGTGGAACACACTTCATTCGCTCATTGCAGCCCAGAGGCAGGAAGTTGCCACATGGTCGTCATTTCAGCAGTGATCTGGGAGCAGCTGGACTCCAATCGTGTTTCATACTGAGCTGAGGGGTCGCTCACAGAGCCAGGGTTCCCACACAGTCTGGGGTTTGATGGCTGAATCCCAAACTTCACTATCAAGTGTCACTCCAGTGAAGTCTCACTCGGAGCTGCGGAAGGCGCCTTGATTGAAGGGGGGACTGCTTCTTCTTCCCTCCACTGGAAAAGGAAAGCTGTCGTTGCTACGGCAACACAGCAACACCACGTGTGTGGCTGTAACTCTGTGGCGCAGGTTAAAATAGCATTAAATATTTGCCCCTTTTTTTAAACAAATGTATACGGTCAAATAAAACTATTTCAAAGAGGACTTCCATTATGGAATTAATTACATTTTTTTCATAATCTAACTTGTGATTTTCTGTCAGTGTGACTAAGATACAGCATACCAGTAGAATTTACATTTGGTGGAACGTGTTTCCTCCACTACCAGGCCACTGTGGATTTCAGTGAGCCTGCATCCGATGCAGCTATTTAAGGGCTGAACCTTCCACTGGCCCTACCCACTATGGGGTTTGGGATGGCACTTAATGTAGCGCACAACAGAGGATTAGTGCTTAGGGGCCGGTTTGATTAAGTGTGGATTAAAAAAAGAATGCAAAAGTTCATGTTTGTCCCCATAGGTTGATTAAAATCAAAAATAAAACACATTTTTCTTGTACTGTGTTTTCATCCATTTGTGCAGCTTTGTAGTTGGACACAGATTCATATCAACATTACAGCTCATGGGAGACTGAAGGGTGAAGATTCAGTGGATTCATAAAGGAGCATAATAATTTTTATCAAGTGTTAAATGCTTTTATGTCACAGTAAAAACTATTTCAGCTTCTTTTGCTGATAAATGCAAAATATATACAAAAATCTGCTGCAGGACACACCTACTGATCCCTCTGTGAAGAATATAATATTTCAGAGACCAGATTTTTTCTCTTTCTCCGTGGTTCTGACCAAGCATCCACATGAATTGTTCAGCAGGAGCTGCCGTTCAGGTAGGAGTTCATCCATATCTCCTGGATGATCATGTCTCTGCGTTCGATCCTCTCCGCCAGCTCAGCCGCCTCGCTCATGTAAGTCACTTCCTCCCAGCTTTGGATCCCCCTCCTCTCGGCAGTTGAAAGCAGAAAGCTCTCTGTTCCTTCATTGTCACCGTCCGGCTCGGCTTTGTCCTCATAATACTGCTCAGAGCAGTTGCGACTCACTCCGTTTGACTTGGCTGCAAGCCTGTGATCCCTGAGCCGCCGCCCCCTGCAGGTCACTTGGACAGATAGAGCCAGCAGTGTAAAGAGGAGGCCAATGCAGACGCTGGAGGTGAAGAGCAGCGCCGCCGTCTCTGGGTGTTCTGTGTGGAAAACAGTGGAATGACACTGAAGATCACATTCACAGCAGAGTTGCTAAAATGTCTGTGGTCTCAAATATGTTTAAATGTAAGTTTATTTCTATTTTGTATATCCTTGCATCTTTCTACCCCTTCTTTCCATCCCACTGTGTACTATAGGTATTTCTTTAGTTCGTCCTTCTTGTGGCCTTCCTTCATTCCTTTCATCCTACATTTGTTTTGTTCTTTCCTTGGGATTCCCACTTTCCTAGCTTATGAACTTTTGCCCACCTCTTCTATGTTTACTGCTAGATTTAAGCCCTGCCAAATGTACAATATCTGCATAAAAAGTGAACAATAATATTTTATATTTTCAAATATTCATAAAGAAACATCATTTTGTACCCTTTTTTAAAAAGATAAGAGCATAAGTCTACCTTTGATGAAGGCATAGGTCAGAAGAGAGTTACTCATCATTGCTCCTGAACTGTCTGGTCTACTTGACTCCAGATCTGAAACAGAATCTGTTGTGAAATGTAGACGCCAGCTGTGATAAAGGTATCTGTGCAAAGATAGACCAGAAAAAAGTAGATTCTGATACCTTTTTCTGTGCTTGGAAGTGAGGTGGTACTCAGAATGCTTGGGTCTGCTTCTCTCAGTAAAGACTTCGGCACTATGGAAGGAAAGAAGGACACTTTAAAAATTATTTTTTTCTTTGCCTTGAACCCTGAGACGTTGTGTCTTTTAAAAGGATTATTAGCTGATATTAAAATAATAATTATCTTGATCATTCAAACTCAGACTTGAGTCTGATGGAATAAGGGTTATGTTAAAGAGGTTCTCCATCCTCAAAGACTAGGAGCTCATCAACAAAGAGCACAGTAACTAGTAACTCAGTAACTAGCATAACTTCTAACAATAGAACATCACAATGCCAGCAGGTAATTTTCACAATTTTTAGTATTAAGATTTAATTTAACTAGAAACTATATATTATTTTATTGTCCTTTAAAATATCTGTCTCATTCCTCTGAGAAAACAAACTCTTAACTGCATAACAGAAAACCCAAACCTGCTATATATGTGAACTTCTATACTGAAATAAAACAATGGAACATTTAAGATATAATAGAGCAAATTAAGTAATTTAGAGATTTAAAAAAAACTCTAAAACCCACCTTTCTTGTTATCTATAATAAAATGAACATGTAAGAGCACAGTGCTGCTCTGACACCACTGATAGAAGACCTTTGGTCCAGTCAAACTTCAGACCTAAATCTAGTTGCTCGACTTCCTGACCAGCCACTTCTCATCCACCGTCCCCATAAACACCGGAGTGCCACAAGGCTGTGTGATGAGTCCCTTCCTCTACTCCTTCCTCACCCACGAATGCAGACCTGTCCATGGCTCTAAGACCATCATCAAGTTTGCAGATGACACCACAGTGATCGGCCTCATTAGGGACAACAACAACTGCCTACAGGGAGGAGGTAGACCTTCTGGCTGAATGGTGTGACACAAACAACCTGTAGCTGAACACATCCACCCATCCACATCAATGGGACGGCAGTGGAGCGTGTGGTCAGCTTCAAGTTCCTGGGAGTCCACATCTAAGTGGAACTGACCTGGATGACCAGCTGCTCCAAACTCATTATAAAGGTGCACCAGGAAGAACCATCTGTCCACAGAGATCCTCACAAACCACCGCTGCTCCATCGAGAACATCCTCACCCACTGTATCAACGCCTCCTGACTATCGACTGTCCTTACACATAACTCCACGCATCCAACACCACTTACATGCACTTCTCAAGCATATTTTAACTGCCATCATCTGTCATTATTTATGCTGTATTAAAACCCCACTAATATATAATCCATATCCTAACTTTCCTGTATGATTGTATATAGTTTTCATATTTTTTTATTTTATAGCCTCTTATAATTATCAGACTAAGAATCAGAAATACTTTAATAATCCCAGAGGGAAATTACTTTTGTTACACGCTCCAGTTACAGTTTTATATAATATATACACACATCCAACTATACAATATAATAAAGATAAAAAAAAATAAGAATAAAAAGAGATAAAATATATACACATATAGCTCTTCTATAAATATATATATATATATATATATATATATATCTGTACGTATATATATGCATATGTAAAAACTAAATCCAAATAAAGTAAAAATCCAAGTAAAGTGATACGTGGCGGGCAAAAATAGTAATTACTATGTATATATATACCATTTATAGTCAATACATACATAGTCTCTGTGTATGTATTGACTTTATTAATATATTATTTATTAATATCCTGCATAGCACTTCTGGATAGATGCAAACCACATTTCGTTGCTTTGTACTTGTGACAGTGTAATGACAATAAAGTTGGATTCTATTCTAAATCCCGTTCTCTACCCCAATCTGCAGAAAAATCGAAAAGGTAAAGAAATCCAACTGTTACTGGGATTGTAGCGAGTGTTTGCTTTTCTGGTTGGATAATGGAATCTTAAGTTCCCTGCAGTGATGTATTAATAACCAAACTTCATTGTTGGGCTATAAATAGTCAACAATGATACCAAGAGGAATTCAAATTAGGATATATGAATAGAGCTGTTTTATGTCTCCACTAACAGTTGTGCCAATCAAACAGGAAGTCAGCCACGAGATAAGGAGAAAAAGAAAAAATGAACTTGGGAGTCTATTGTTTCCCACTTTTTCTATTATTTGGTTTATGTTTTATTTTTTCTTTAAGGGTGGAGGAAGGGTAGGAGTCACGAAAATCTGGGATCTGAAGATAAGAACTCAAAGCAGGAAACAACAAATGCCCTGTGAAAGACCCGCAGCATGATGATGGAAATTATGATAACATGAGTCTAAGACATCATCTGAGCTGGTACTTGAATGCATCACCAGGCTTTGATCTCATTACATGTGAATGAGGAAACAGGAGAGGATCCTACCACAAGAATAAAGCACACTGAGGTACTTCCTGGTTCCTGGAAAGCAGGGGTCCCTGAAGGTCTGGTTGCCAACAGCAACGGCGCATTTCTGTCGGCTGTAGCAGGATTTGGAAACCACCTGCACGGCCTCGTGGTTCAGACACTCTGACGGAAGGAGCAAAATAAAGTGAAACGTGACAAAAATAACAGAGAGGACTGAGTCTGGAAAGAGTCAACAAACATCTTCACAGTTCAGCTTTGGTCTCACTTTCCTCATGTTTGTGTCTCTAACATATGAAATGAGACTCCCTCTGCTTTTCCTCGTTATTACATGGCACAGGACTTGTTTTCACATAGTCCTCTCAGATAGCTGCTATTTTGGTCTAAAAATCCCAACCAAGGAGTTTTATCACAAGAGATTCAGTAGTAGCTCAGCTCTAAACATGGAGCTGACAAAAATACTTTGTGAGGTGTGCTGTGCAGGTATGACACTGCTTTCTAAGATCTGTGATTGGTTGATTAAAGATTAGAAAAATACAAAAACACATCTGCACTGTGTCTTGAGGAAGAAACTTGTCCAAATTAAATGATTTATCACATAACATCTATCATCCTCATTTAATTTGCCGATGATTATGCCAACACACGCAAATGTCTCAACGACCATTTAGTTTATTGTTACCGACATCATGACATACAATAAAGCAAATATTTTCTCACCTCTTTTACATCTTTCCTCCTAGTATATAAAGCAGGGGTGCACTGATTGATTACCAATTCCCGATCTTTAAAAAGCCTGACATGCTGATTCCAATTTTGATTGATTCAGGTTTTTTTAATAACCAACACTGTCATTCCTGGATGACTGTGAACCTTCACCAGCATAACCAACACTGTCAGTTGTTATAAGATCACAAAACCCCTTAAGTATTTCAATTGCATCTAGCTGAAAGTCATTAAAGGTGTGAAACGATAAAAATGTCTGAAATGTCTGCCCTGAAATATAAATCAAAGTTTAGAGCATTGATTTTCAGACCTTTGCAGAGGTAGATAAGATCTGATGAAAAGATTGGTTTCACATCGAAGTATCGGCCGACCACAGATCTCCCAAAATAAAGGAAATTAAAGTCAAAGTGCATATTTTTGTACTTTATATTCTCTAGTTTATTTTTTCTTTAAATATTTTTCTATTAGGAAGATATTATTGTTTGCAAATGATGTTGAAATCATTCTGCTTTTTAACTGTTTTTATATTTCCCACATTTATTTTATAATTATTTACTATTTATTAATCCTCATAAAATTGTGTTACCTGAGCTGCACCTTTATTAAAGTCCCTGCTGCTCAAATTATTTTATTTCCCTTTACAGAGTAAGATGAAAATTATTTCATAAAAATCACCCTCCCTTTTTTTCCTCCCTTTAGAAGTTTTCTGAAGGCCTGTTTTGTGAATAGCTTTTATTAATCACTAAGAGCCACTTTACATTTTTTTGTGACTACAGATCCAGATTGGTGGACCTTTTGACAATTTTTGAAATCATATTTATGATTTATTTATGATTGAGGATCTGAGCAGCTCCCGCATGGTCATCACCTTTCCAGGCTTGTTGGTTTAGATGAATACTTTTGCTATGCATTATAAAAGTAATACCTTATTTACTGGCTCACTTCTGGAGAAGCTAAACTGCAGTTACCAAGAGTAAAACTTTGCTCCCATGAAAGGGAATTTGATCTGATTTAACCCAGATGAACAAATATTAAATTATTTTGCATAAACGCAAGATTTTATGTTATCTACAAATAGCTTTTATTTTGATGGATAATTAAAGAGTCAATAAAACATCTATGAATGGTTGGTGTTATATTGCACTGTTCAGACAGACTCATCTTCCCTCTGCCAGTTCTATTTAACATACCAAGAAAAGCACAGGTGTTCTGGAGTAAGTGAGAAGGAATGCAGCAACAACTGAAGTCACGAGATACACCTGTTTCTACCTGCACCTTTTCCGCTTGTGCTCTCTTTTCATTTTTAATAAAGGCCTCATACCTATGAATCTCTTCTCCCCTGTGTGTTCTAAGGAAAAATCACTGTTTTAGTCAACAGATGGAGCTTATCTTTCCATATAGAACAATTAACTCTCCCCACCCACCACCATGAAGCTGCCTAAGGCCTTCTAGATAAGCGTCATGGGAAAAAGAGCCATGCTCAAAATAAAAATAAAGATCAATGCTGGCAGTGTTCCACTTAGCTGTCCGTGTCAGAGTTACGTGAGGCCAGCTGATGTCTCTAATCGAATATTCGCTGCTTCTTTTTAACCGTACTTTATAACAGTGATGTTTCTCTAATAGTAGCTGACGGTAGCTCACCGAATGGGGGTGGTCTCGTCCGGAGTGAAGGGCAGGCGTCAGTCTGACCCAGACCTCGGCCATAGACAGCTGCATAGATGATCAGCGCCTTGGGGGGCTTACAGCGTAAGAACATGATCTCTCCTTCACACACCACCTGTGTTTTGTGTTCAGCTGAGGGAGGGTACCGGTGAAACTGTTATATGTCTGAAAGCGCTCAGAGTGAGAGGGAAAATGGAACAGATGAACTCACAGGGTTTGCACTTGTAATCCACATGGAGGTACTTGGTCTTGCCGGGGCACGGGTCCTTCCCAAACAGCAGGTGAGTGACTGGTAGCTGGCAGTCTCTGTGGTTCTGACACTCAGACAGGAGCTTCTGCAAAACAAAACGCTCAATAAACTCCAGCATCCGTCATCATGCGTAACCTCCAAACCTCCTGCTGAAACAAGTCTTCCGCTAATAACTCACATCTGGTTAACCGCAAACTAATCTGTAAAGTTTTGGGTGTGAAAGAGCACCTGGAGGGCGGTTAAAGCTGAGCAGCTTTGGTTTTGGGGTCCAGACTGGGGGTCCTCTGAGCACAGCCGGACCCGGCCGCTCCCATAGAAGGCTGACTGGATGGAGATGGTGGAGTGACGAGGACAGTGGAGTCTCAGTGGCGCTCCGTTGCAGGCATGAGCAGAGTGGCTTGTGATGATCCTTGACAGGTAGTCTGTTTTAAAGAAAGAAGGGAATCATTTTTTTTCCAAATCAATATCACAGATGAAGCTTTAGCATTTACTAATCAGACTCTTTCTAGATCAGGTATGCATTTCATGCTCATTCCAGTATGGAAGAAGCAGTATGGTAAACATTATCTGATTTGTTCCTTAAAAGAAAAATCTAATCAACTGTCAGCTATACATTGATTATTTTCTTTCTCTTTTGCAAGGAAAGCCAGATGAAGAAGCCTGGCACATGGTTCACAGACATGAATGACACAAAAAGTACAAGAAAAGATCAAACTATGGATTTCTCCAAGCATCATTTAAAGAATAAAAGTTTGTAAAAATGTGTATTTAAGGAAGATCATTTCCTTCTCTTCATATGCAATGGAGGATACAGATATATTTTTAAAAATGAGAATAGTATAATACATTTATTTTCAATGACAGAAGAAAGTGAAACTCAGTTTGATTATACAGAGGATGAAATATTTCAAAATATAGCCTGTAACTCTATGGTTTATTCAGAAGTTAATAGCGATTAAGCTGAAATTTACCCAGGCCAGATTACTGCAGGACCTGTAGAATCAGGAAATCATTCCAAACGAATCTGTGCAAAGCAAATCAAAGATGGGACTTTGGTTTTATTCTGTAGACTTTTTAGGGGAAAAAAAACAATGTATGTGGACTGATGAAAAAGAAATGTGAAACTTTGAAAAATGCATCCCGTTAAATCTGGGGTACAGCTAATTCAATGAACTGTGAAAAAACCAATAGGTGGTGGTAGTATGATGGTTCAGGGTACCTTTGCTTCTTCAGGATCAGAACTTGATGGAAATGATGGAAGCATGAATTCTGCTTTCTCATTGAATATTCTATAGATCATGGAAAGATTATCTGTTTGTTACCAAAAGCTTAAACTTCCCATGCTGTTGAATTAAATCTACTGCCACAATACTTCAGAAATCATGTCAAACTGTTATCACAAACATTTTATTTCCACCAACGGTGAAAAGTATCCAGTTACCAGGTTTAGAATATCTTGGATCTGTATGCTTTATCATACAGATCTGAGAAAATCTTTTTTGTTTGTTTTGTTTTTCAAAGGCTTGTGCATTATCGCAAGCAGAGTTTGGTGGCATGGCAACCAAATACCACATCAAAGCATCCCTTCGTGATTGGGATACTGTACATGCTTAAATCATAAATGATTTCATTTAATGTCATTTGCAGATCTCGTCAAAGGATTGTTGGGACACTCAACTGTTTTTACATAGAAATGGTGGAGCAGCCAATAATGATTAGGAATGCTCTGTCTACGGTTATTTAGAGTGAATCATTCATCCCCCCTGGAAGATATAGGTTAGAATCAGACTTTTTAAAGCATTTTTTTTTTTTATTGAACAAACATGTCTTTTTTGTGGAGTTCATTTCAATTCAGTTTCTTTATATAGCGCCAATTCACAACACATGTCATCTCAAGGCACTTTACAGTTCACCAGATCAAACAGTCAAATTGATTCAAAGTTTTCCAGTTGATTGTATCGACTCATTGACTCGAATGCAATCCCTCATACTAAGCATGCTTGTAGCAACAGTGGAGAGGAAAAACTCCCTTTTAACAGGATAAAACTCCAGCAAACCAGTTGCAAACTCAGGGTCCTGACTTCAATTTTATAATCTGTGGCGAAACATAAAGATTAGGATTATACAACAGAAGCCTTCTGACGATAAAGACTTGGGGCTCTTCGCAAAAGATAAATGGTCTAAATAGCAGCAGAGAGGTATAAAATGCAGTTCAGCAATTACCAGGATTCGACTGCTTTAGCAACATTAAAGATTATTTTAATCAAAAAGTGTATAAATAATGTTCACTATGCCGTTTTTTTAATAGCCTAAATCAGAAGTCTTTAACAGGGGGTCCGCAACCCCTAGGGGGTCCATGGAGGTACTGCATGGGGGTCACAAAAGTTTTTGTTGGGAAGGCTTCTTTTTAATATTCCCCCCTGCAAATTTTTCCACTAATTGAAATGTCTTTAAATACACATTAACATGAATTCAACACACTGTAGTAAACAGATAAATGGAGATAGAAGATGTATTTTAGTCATCAGTGCACACATTCAGCGACACACAGGAGCTCTTTCAAGCGGGGCACTGTTTCATTCATAACACCTGTCCCATCAACCAGGAATCAGAATCAGAAACACTTTAATAATCCCAGGGCGAAATTACTTTTGTTACATGACTAACCCTAACCCTAACCCTCTATAATAGAGTGACTATAAGACCACTTTGATATAACACAATTACATTCAATATATATGATTAATAATTAACTCCATCTTGCCCAGAGGCATAGACAGAAAAATTAAATAGGGGTGACAGTCAAAAACCAATGTACACTGAGGGGTGGCCGAAAATGGATAGGCACCAGAACCTCAGGGTCAGTCTAAACTGGAAATTTGCACAACATCCATATTTTCTAAATATGACAAACTATACTTTCCTGCAATCTTTGCTAACAAATAGACGCATATATTTAAACATCCATTCACAGGGGTGGCAAATGATTGGCTAAGGGTGGCCATGGCCACCTCTGGCCCCCCATCTAGCTTCTCCCCTGATCTCGCCATCATTTTGGGGGTCCTTGGCCTCGAAATCGTCAAAGACCCCTGGCCTAAATTAATTTCCTATCATACAGAAACTGCTGGGCAATCATTTGAATCAAAATAGTTACTGGAAGAAAAAAAAAGAAAAAAAACAGTCAGTGATATGGAAGATTTTAAGATAATACAGAGAAAATAATAGTGGGCCAAGCATGTAACCATGTAGAATACCTGAATAACATTTTTTTACGGCACTTTCGGATTAAAATAGTCAGTTGTCTCAGAAAAATACTTAAATACTTTTATTAGAAGTGTGAGAAAATTAAAACCTGATTACATTAGAAAAGGTCAAATAAAGGTGTGCATTATTCCTGTTCCCCTCCCTTCATTACATCATCATCACCTTACTTGAAAAATCAGCCAGTCCGTTCATGCGTCTTGTCCACAGAAGTACAGTCAGGTAGAAGAGGCTGTGGCTCCAGTCCAGTCCGCACCAAGGACGCGTCCAGCTCATGACTCCTATCCTCTGTCCTCCTTCTCATATTAATGGAGCTCGTTAAATTTAAACTTCTGGAACTTCATGAGAAAAACAAACAAGCAGGAAGGAAGGAGTGAATCCACATGGCCGCGGTCATCGGCTGCATCTCTCTAAGGTCGGGAAAGAAAGCTGGTCGCTGTCTGAAAGTGATCTATCTGTCCACAGATAGAAAATACCAGCAGGCGGTCAGACTGTCAGTGTTGGAGCTGATGGAGGGAGGGGGGAATAGCAGCTGCGCAACAAGTTTTTCACAACAGGCAGCCGATGAGATCAGTCCACTTTATGGCAGCGATAGGCTCCTCTAACATCCAAAGCAGATTTGTGAATGGATAGCACCATGTGGAAAGTGGCAGCGATTTACAGTAACAGCTGAGTGGGTATCGTGGAGTGGGAGCGGCGCACTAAACTATTTTAAAAGGCGCAGTGGCAGCGCACGCTGCCATGACGCAGCACGCTGCCATGACGCATGTTGTTTTTCTCTCCGTCTCCGTGTTTATTTTTATTTTTATACTCTTTTCTGCAACTTTTTTTTATTCGTTTGCCCAATACTTTAACGTGCATTAACAGTTTAGGAATAGAAAATCTCTTTTTTGTCCCACAGTGGGGAAATTCTTGTGTTACAACAACAGCAAATAGATTATAGAAAAAAAAGGGTCACACAGATGTGGACCTTAGAAAAATGTATAAGAATAACATAATAGTGAAGAGTTGAAAAATAAACAAATGAATTACTGCACTGTAAAGTGTTTTAACTATATAAATACAGGGCATCTGGGGAATAAATAACCAATATACAGCTGAGGACATTTTTACAGTCATGAATATTTAAAAATAGCAGCAACATCAGAGATGTGCAAAATGACAGCAGCATGTTATTTAACTGACTAAGATAGAAACTGTGCAAAATCAGCATGAATGTAACAACTTATTTAGGTTGTTGGGAACAGTGATGGTTATAAAGTCTTCCAGCTGCTGGGAGGAAGGATAACACTCCCTGGTGCATTTAAGGGGCAGCAGTCTGTCACTGAAGGAGCTCTCTAGTTCTGCAACAGCTTCATGCATGGGGTGAAAACATTATCCAAAAACCTCTTTATCTAATTTATGTGTTGTTTTTTTTAACCTCTTTATCTAATCTGTTGTGCAAATGACAAATCCCACCCTGATTAAAATACTTACAGAAATAAATGAAGGGCTTAATGATATAAAACTTGGGTGAAAAATTATGTTATAAATGTGTGCCATTAAATGCCACAAAATAATAGAAATAAATTTATTCAACAGCTGAACAATTAGTCAATTCAATTCAATTCAGTTTATTTATATAGCGCCAAATTCACAACACATGTCATCTCAAGGCACTTTACAGTTCAACCAGATCATACAGTCAAATTGATACAAAGTTTTCTATCTAAGGAAAACCAGTTGATTGCATCGACTCATTGACTCAAATACAATCCCTCACACTAAGCATGCTTGTAGCGACAGTGGAGAGGAAAAACTCCCTTTTAACAGGAAGAAACCTCCAGCAGAACCAGGCTCAGTGTGAGCGGCCATCTGCCGAGGCCGACTGTCATGTAAACATATATATTTGAACTGCAGCTTTTATTTTGTTCTTCTTGTTTTAGCATTTATTTATTTATTTTTTTGTTGTCTGCAAAGTTTTTGTTTTGTTCTGAATTTCCCCTCTAACCCTTTTTATTGTTTCATATTTGTTTAGACCACAATATTTTTAAAATATGTTTTTTTTTTTGTGACTTAGTTAAAACTGTTCTCCAGCAGGTTCCAGTTCTGCAGCAATAAAGATTCACTTACACAAGAATCATTCACAGAAACCAGCCTATATACCACAAATTATCTACATTAAATCAATATATACAGGTGAAACCATCCCAGAAAATGTTTTGTATGTTTTTTGTTATCTAGTGCTTCGATTAACATCATTCCACTCCTTAGTAAAGATATTGTAGAATGATTTCTGTCCATAAGTCACAGTTTTTCAGCTGAGCTTGATCTTTGTTTTGTTTTGTTTTGTTTTTTTCCCTCCAACTTTTTATTGTCATTACACTGTCATAAGTACAGAGCAACAAAATGAACTCTCTGCATTTAACCAACCCCATTGGGGATGCAGTGGGCGGCCATGGTGTGTGTTTTTTTTGTTGTTGTTGTTGTTGTTTTTGTGCTCCTCTCTGTCCTCAGTTTTATATTATTGAAAGCAAAACCTGATTGCATTGCTGTTATATAATAATTATAATAATAATACATTTGATTTATACTGCACTTTTCATCAAAAAGACCTCAAAGTACTACAAAAAAGAAAAGCATTATAAAAGAAATACATAAAAAAAATAATAACAATAATAATAATAACGAAAAAAACACATAGTAGATTAATTTATTGAAAGATTCATTTAGTGAAAATAAAACTTAATGAATTCTGCTTTCTCAAAGAGTCATGTAGGTTTTGCTGCCCTTTTCATTTAAATCTTTGTCATTTTTACATGAAATATATAAAATCAGAAAGTGTGCATTTCTATGTTTATTGGACACAATAAAATTGCGTGTAATAAATTAATATCGTATGCACATAAGTTTCTTTTTGGGTTATTTTTAATTGTTCAACTGAAGTATTTTTGGAAACAGCTTCCACACTACACCTTTCAGTTTATCAACTTGAAAAGTTTTGGTTTCAACCAACACAAACTAAATATATATTACTGTCTGACTGAGATTTATATCAGCTCACGACAGTTTTTCAGTCCAATGATAAAAGTTATGTTTTTTTAAACATTGAGTTCCATGTAGTTTAAGTTGAAATTTAGTTAACATTACACAAAATATATCCTACACAGATTTTTATGCCCATTTAAACAGCTTAGTTCAACAGTACCTGTCCAACTGGAACTTCCAAGACATCCTAACAGTGCTGTGATTAATATTCCAGTCCTTGAACATCTTTAATGTCATTACTGAGCAGATACCTTCTTACTGTTTTTATCATACTGAAATTTTCAAGTTCTACACGGGGGTTTTAAAATTTGCTACAGTCAAGAATGAGTCATGGGGCCGGATCTATCAAAGGTTTGCGTGTATAAAAACGTGAGCTATTTCACTGCGCACGCTAAAAAATGTACAAACTGATCTATCAACAGCGTGCTAAAAGCATTTGGTCTTTAAAACGTGCTAAATAGCGCCTCTTATCCATTTAGTACTTTTTCTGCAATGAATATGCAATATGGGGCGTTTACACGCAAAAGTGCGTCTTGTGGGAGGAGAACATGTAAATATATTAATTTAGCACTCGCAAAGTGATTTATTAAACCTAAAAGCAATTTTGCTAACGGTATCTGACTCTTTATTTAACACGTTTCAAAAGAAGGTGCAAATGGTCTGTATGCGTAATTGCGCATTCATGGCAGCGGTTATTGTCGCAAGAAGGAGACATCGAAATGAAGCAAGGAGACGCAGAGAACGCATTTTTTCACTCCGTGTGAATATTTTTGGAATGAACGAGGAAACGATCATCAAAACATATCGTTTATCCTGCATTGCCATTATGGAGCTGCAATTCCAGTGATTTGCTCCTCACAGAGCGTCAGCTGTACTTGTTCCTCAATGCTGGTCAGAGGCATCTCATCTACTGTGCCCCCTCCTCTTTTGTTCGCAGATGTTTTGTTATATGCCAGTTTTTCTTTGGTTCGCCTTCTAATATCCTGGTATCTTCTTTTTACTTCATCCACTGTTCGCAAGGTTTCACCAACAGCGTTTACTTTATTACAGATTTGTTCACATATAGCGTTCCTCTGTGTGACAGGCCCACTTCTTTGCTGTAGCTCACTTAAATGTTTGTTGGCTTCATCCACCAACACCTCCATTTCCATGGGGTCAAATTTCCTTTTGCGCTTTCTGCTGTCCAAACTCGCCATGCCGCAAACCACAAAACGCGCAAAACCATCATTTAAATAGGGCGTCTCCAACAGTTTTGCACCTGTCACCAGTTACGCAATCGCTCTTGTTAAATCACCCGCAAACCATGGTTGAGCCCCTCGCGCAAAATTCCAGTTTGCGAGCGCAAATTACTGCACGCAAAATTGGATCTTGATAAATCCGGCCCATGGTTTCTAAAAACTTTTCAAGACTGACTGACTGTAATCATGTATGTTGAATAAAATGTTCCGGCTTTATATTCATATTTAACTTTATGATGCACAGATCTTCAAGTTGATTGCCAATATTTTTTTCTAAGTGTAATTTGGTTAAAAGTTATTGTCGGGTTCATTTTTTTAAGGAGAACTGAAATACAGACTTATTGATACTATTCCTGCAGGAAGGAGAGACAGTTGAACCCCAGACTCAAACATACTGTCTCCCACTGGACCTCCTCTGCAGAGCGTTTATTAACAGAACATGATGCATGGTTACAAACAGAGTATTGTTCTGACAGAACAATTGATCAGTTCATGAAGACAGAATGCTCCATCAGAATGACAAGGCAGGATGGTCTCCTGACTGGATCATGAGACAGGAGTGGAGCATCCCCTTGCACAAATGTTTCATAAGCACACATTAATTTTATAATCATCATTGAATAAACCTGACAGTTATTATCAAGTTGCCTTATTAAAGGTCCTGGTCATATGTCCTTGCCTTTCATGGTTTGAACAAGGATGTTCTTAGTAGTAATTTAGTCTGGTCTGTTCCTGTTTGGCTGTGACTCCATCCTGGAGAGAAATATCAGCTGAGCTGCTGCTGTCAAACACCTTTGTTTATGGATTTTCGAGATGGGCCTGTTTTCCAGTGTAGTCCTGTTTCTCTGACTGTGACTGGCTGGATGTGCTCTCTTCATCCGCTGACATGAGAGTTGGCTCGGAGCTCGTCTGCCTGGCCGTGTGTTTCCTGGATGGGGCTGCCTTTTACAGTTGCCTTTTGTATCTGGTCAACGAGTCGATGCAATCAACTGGTTTTCCTTAGATAGAAAACTTTGAAGGATTTTGATGATCAGGTTGAATTGTAAAGTGCCTTGAGATGACTTTTAGTGGATTGGCGCTATATAAATAAATTGAATTGAACTGAATTCTTGTCAAATCAACATCAATGGCTTGAGGTCGTACTTTTACAAAGGTTTAATAAGTGGAACAACTAAAATAATTTATATATGGAACAAAAAATGCTGTGGTTTTAAGATGACATTGTTTTTATTATATTGGTGGTAATATCCCTGAATGAAACAAAGAAATATAAATTGCACTCTATTAAATTTAACTTTGAGTTGACACATTTTTAATACATTAAACACAAATATAACTTTTAGTTTTATGCTAAGATGGTAAAAATTTTTATTTTCTGCATAACACTCAAACTTTTGTTATAATCATGTGTATTTAGTATATTCAGCAAAAAATTTTTTTTCCTTTCTCTTAACAATGATATGCCTACTTGTCAGATTAACATAAAAACTCTCAGTTCTTATAACTACAACATTTTTATCTTAGAAATCAAGAATAATATAATATGTTAATGGCACAATCTATCAGTAGTTATTTGGCCTTAAGCTAATTATAGTATCTCACCTTTATATCTTATAGTGTTATATACTGATTAAAAAATTCCTAAGTTGTAGGAACACCAAAAATTATATTAAATTAAGAATGCAGGCATGTTTGTGTCAAGTGAACTTAAAATATTTATGTAATTTCAACAGTCTTCATCGTTTGTGTCGACCCCCCAGTAACATTTTATGTTGTGAAAGAATTGGGGCTTAAAGTGTATATGGGTCCTACCTTTTACAATGGGACAGCCATTAATTCTAATTTTAAATTAAGTTGAGTAGCTCTTTCTTTGAATTAGGAAGTTTTTTTTACATGTCGTCATCGACTTCTGCTTCATTTGGAACCAGGTTGCGGGGGAAGCAGGCCCAGCAGAAACTCCCAGACTTCCCCTCCACAGACACCTCCTTCAGCTCTGCTGGGAGAAGGGCAAGGCACTCCCCAGCCAGCAGAGGTACATGGTCCTTCCAGCGTGTCCTGGATTATCACCTGGGCCTCCTCCAGATAGACATGCCTGGAACATCTCCAGAGAGAGGCACCCAGGGAGCATCCAAAGATCTCCGAGCCACCGCAGCTGACTCCTCTCGATCTGGAGGAGGAGTAGCTCTAATCCAAGCCTCACCCAATCTTTAAGGCAGAGTCCAGCCACCCTTTGGAGAAAGCTCATTTCTTGTATCCAGGATCTCTCTCTTTCAGGCATGATCCAGATTTCATGACCATATGTGAGAGTAGGAACCTAGATCGACTGGTAAATCAGGAGCTTTGCCTTCTCACTCAGCTCTCTTCACCTCGACAGTGCAGCGTCTACATTCCAGCAGCAGCCACAGCCATCCGTCTATTGATTTCCTGCTCCATTCTCCACTCACAATTAAACAGAGCCCCAAGATGATTTAACTCCTATACCTGAGGCAAGAACTCTCCTCCAACCTGATGGAGACAGGGCACCCTTTTCCAGTCGAGAATCATGGCATCAGACCTGGAAGAAGTGATTCTCATCCGGGAGCTTCACACTCAGCTGCGGACTACCCCAGTGAATGGTGTAGGTCTTGGCAGGAGGGGGCCAGCAGAACCACGTCATCCGCAAAAAGCAGTGACGTGATCCACCGGTCTCCAAACCAGACCCCCTCTGGCCCTTGGCTGGGCCTAAAAATCCTGTCCATAAAGGCTTTGAACAGGACAGGTGACAGAGGGAGGCCCTGTCAGAGTCCAGAGTCCAACCTTAAGGTTCTTTTTAAATATTTGATTAAATAATGTATCAGAACACAATCCTCTGAAGATAAGAACAGGATTTAAAACCGAAGGAAAGTCTTCAAAAAGCCATAGGTTCATGGGACACCGTAAAGTAGAGAAGAAAGTCTGGTTACTTGCAAGATGAATATGAATTAATGAGGTATGTTTCTGTTCTTTAGCACATGCGAATCCTGAGGTTCTGTTTTGGTTGGGATTTTTCAAGTCCATCCATGCAACTTGTTTTTTGTTTTGTTTTTTTAAATCAAAGATGAATAGAGTAAGTCAAGAGTATCAAATAAAAAATGTTTCTTTAAAAACAAATAAGAAACTACTGGTGTCCTAATCACACAGTTCTTGTTGGCCAAGCCAGGGGGCCCCATTGGGAAAACAGCTCTAAAGTCTGCGTCTGAGACCTCCTCCATGGTAACGGCTCTGGCTCCATGTCAGACGGCAGATCAGGTCTTACGGCAGTCAAACTAGCAGCAACTGCTGAGGCGTTCAGGACGAGTTCCGCTCCAGAGGAAGGGGACTGACCGAGTGGAGGAACTGTGGGGTCAAACTTTTTTCATACAAACAGAACAGGTGAATTTTTTTCCATTCACACGGGAAGCAGCTCCAACATTTACTAAATAGATATAGCTCTCCAAAGCCTGCAGTTTTGCTTTCAATCTAGAACAGGGTCCATTACCTTTTAACAAACAGTAAAAGGATTATAAATGGGCAAATAAAATAAGGTCAAAAGAAGAAGGGTCTGAGGATTACAAGAACAGATGCAAGATGGATAAAAAAAAAACTTCTGTTTGAACTCAGATGGGCTGATAAATATTAACTTATTATTACTGAATACTGAAACAGTAATCTTGCATTTGATCAAGTTGTTTACATGGATATAAACTTGTTTGGAGAACATCTGTCATGACATGTTTATATGCGTTTCAGACCAACAGCCCTTTAATTAGATTGGTGCGATCAGAGAGGAAAACATTTAATTATTGTCACCAATGTTTGAAACAAACAGGAAGGGGTGAAGACAGAGTCGGCACCCAACTACACACAAAAAAAATGGGTTCGCATATTTATAAAAAGCAAAATAAAAAAGCAAGAAGACAGAAATATGTGTACATAATACACAAACTAAATAAGCTTTAATAGTCTATATTTAAGAGGGAATCTTTTGTCACTCCCTTGTCTTTCATAATTAGCCCTAATACTATAATTTTACAGTCATGTTAAGGCATCATAAGTTTTGTGTACAGAAATGTTGATTCATATTTGCAATATGCTTTAGATTATTTAATATTCCTTCATTTTCCCCAGAGGTATAATTTTTTTTAGCAACAGGAGAAAGTTTAACATTACAAAGTCCTCATTGACTAGGCCCTGTAGAATAATTAACAAGCACCACCAAACATCACAACCTGAAACTGACATTGGAAAGTTTGAATTTTGCCTAAACAGAGAAAATTGTAACCAAATTTGATGCTGCGTTCACTGGTGATCAGAAAGCCAGCTGCATTTGGTGTGTTGACAGTTCAGCTTCAGGGGGGCTGAGTAGCTGTAACTTTAATCACTACTGACTGTGTTGCACTTTTAACATGAATGTGGAGTCTCATTCACAAAAAAACATCAACATTTTTCTGTTCTTGTCAATTTTTATGCTTAAAATTAGGTTTAATCTTAGTCCAACAGTATTCCTTGCTTTACAAGATGTTTTTTTTAAAGGTTTTGATGCATTCAGAGGAAAGGTTTCCTTTTTATTATCAAGAAACTGTCAGATATGTATATATAAATCAACAAATACATTAACATTTATGATCATAGCATGAGAAAATATAGCCAACAAATTATATGATTTTTTTTGGGGGGGTCTGTATCAGCTTCTCATTGGAGTGTCAGTTTATAAGAGGGCTTAAATGTAAAGGAGGAAGCGGTTCCTAATGGGATTTAGCTAAAATCAAATTGACTTGAAGAGCAACTAAAAACTTTTGCTAGTATCCTAGCTTTTGCTAGCTAAGTATCCCTGACAGGGATACTTATTGCAGGCAGGAGAAAAAAATGAAAGCATGAAGAAGGCAAAAATTTTATTTTACAGAAAAGTACATTTCAACATATAACATCACTTAAAATCCACCTTCGTCTCCAATTTGGAATCAAGCGCAACCTGAAATTGATAAAATGGAAAAAGGATTTAAATCAATAAACGAGGAAAAAGAATAAAACCTTGTCTGTTATTAAACTAAATGATAAATGACTCACTAGTTCTCTTTTTGCTTCTTCTATCTTCACTTGTGCAAGAGATGGGCTCTGTGACAGAAGGGGAAACAACACATTAGTAGACTGAAATCACAAACATAATGCTTAAAGAAATTAGACTGAAGAGGAAACGAAAAAGGAAACATGATAGTCCCTTCAGGTCGGAAGTAATGAAGCCTGAAAAGTCTAACAACACCACATAACAGACGCACAGGGCTCAGGTCCATGTACGGCTCCAGCTTCTTTTTCAGGGGGATTATTTCGTTTTTCAGTGTGCCGACTTCCTGCAGAGAGAAAAATAAGACAGCATGTTTCAAACCCCGAAAGCAGACACGGTAAAGCTTTTATCCCCATGGCTACAACTGTGGGGGAAAATGCAGAAGTACCTCAGAAAGCTGCATAATGGCCTGGTGGGTGATAGACTTGTCCATGTTCCTGGATAGAAGCCGATCCTGCAGGATTTGCAGAGCAGAATAAAATGACTTAGAGCAGAGCTGCTTTCACCTGACTATTTAAATGCTGTTTAAGGTCTAAACATGAGGCAGATGACAAAAGTTTCAAACTACATTTTTATCCTCTTTCTAAAGCTGCCATCACAGTTTCTTATCTTGCTATATGTTTGGATCATTTTTAAACTAACTCCTGGTCAATCCCTCCTGGAAAGGATCCTACTTGGGTATGAATGTTTTTCCTGGTAAAATTATGTTGTTTTTGTTTTGTTTTTTAAACAGCATCCATACACCAATCAGGCTTTTAGCTAGCAATGTGTACAGGTGTACATTGTATCTGCTTTACTTAAAAAAATTACAAATTGTAAACACTGTTTAGTGATGTGCAGCTTCAGTATGCCCTAATTATAAAATAAATAATAAAAAAAATAAATTGAACTTAATTGATCTCACAATGGAGAAATTAGCTCTCTGCATTTAACCCATTCCCTTTGGGCAGCAGTGGGCTGCCATCATGGGGCGCCCCGGAAGCTATCAGGGGTTAAGGGTCTTTGCTCAGAGCGCCAGTCTGTGGGAGTGGGTTTCGAACTTACAACCTCAGGATTCCAAGCTCTATGCCCTAACCACTAGTGTTAACTTTTATCATTCTGGTGCCTGCAGTTTTTACCATATACCTGAAAACCTAACATCTACTTCCAGCCACCGCAAACAGTAGTGGAAAATCCCCCAAGAGGCGACCGGCAGAGGCAGCTGTTGCTGTGGATTCCCAATGACAGCGCACCACCAGTATGTGTGGGTCTGAGCTCCTCCGACAGCGGAATAATATGTTATGGCAGGATTTTACTTTTGAAGAACTGTGCACAGACGATGTTTTGAGGCAGACTTTCTCACTTAAAATTATTCAGTTATCATTAATTATATTAAAACTACTCTTTACACACTGATCACAGCAAATATTACAAAGCCACTCTGCCATTGAACACAGGAGCAGCAGAAGAATCAGACGCATCTGTACACACTCTACTGACCTTAATGTGTACAGGCATCAAAAATAAAAGAGCAGACGCTTTTTTGCTGCTCAATTTGCAGCGTGAATGTAGCATTACATTTTCTGATTATTTGAATGAACCTATGAAACATAAAGTTGTTCCTGAAAATGATCTCATGTCTTACTTATGAAAAAAGTAGTGTTGTAACAACGAGAAAATGTTAGCTGCACTCCACCTCAAAATGCAGGAAATAGCATTTCAGAGTCTAAAATTTTAACAAACTCCCCAGACACCACGCAAAGCCTAAATATGTGATATACCAAGGTTTACACCCAATGAAATACTCCTAGCCAAAAGCCTGACACCAATAGTTATCTGTATAAAGAGCCATAGCTCCACAGCATACCTCTGACCTCTCCAGTCTGTGACTAAGCTCTCGAGCTTTGGCTGTCACAAAGTCCATGTTTAGCAGTCTCTCCTCTGCTTTCGCACTCTCCACTGCCTGAGATTTGGTAGTCTTGTCGATATCTCTGAAAACGAAGAAAACCGGCTGCACATGTAAACTTCATCTTCAAGTTGAAACCTACTGATAAACTGAAACTTTTGTCTTCTTACTCTTGTAGGTTTCCCCGCAGCACCAGAGTGGCACCGAGCCTTTTCCGGAGCACCCTGAGTTCTCGCTCGAGTCTTCTGTTTGACTTCTCAGCTTCCAAGAGCTCGCTGGTGAGGTTGTTCACCGCTGGCATGAAGCTGCAGGCAAAACTTTAAAATGAAGCAACAATGCTTTTGTAAATGACCCAGTAAATGACTGAGGATCTACCTGCTCAGTGACGTGTCTCTCACTCCCAGCACCATAGCACTGTCCACCAGAGCAGACAAGTAGTCTGCACTTGCTTTTGACAAGCTTGCCCCGGAGAGACCGACACCTTGTAGAAGGACATCCTGAAGATGAGCAGCTTGGTCAAAGAAAAAAAGAAACAGGGATCAATAAAATGCAGTTTTTAGATAACAAGAAAAGTTTTTTTTTTATATATATATTTCAGACCTCCATATTTTAAAAGACTACTTTCTGTTTTGGGTTCTACTTTCATCAACATCCTGGATATTTAATTACAGAAGTTTTACCTTTTACTTCTTATATGGGATTTTTAGTAATTAGGTTGGATTACCGTAAAATAAAAGAGTAACTAGTGGCACCTATCGCTATATTTATTAAACCCTTTGTAGATTTGAAATAAAAAAAAGTTTCTTTTTTGGGGTTTATGGCTTAATATACAGGTGCTGGTCATAAAATTAGAATATCATGAAAAAGTAGATTGATTTCAGTAATTCCATTTAAAAAGTGAAACTTGTATATTATATTCATACATTACATACAAACTCATATATTTCAGATGTTTATTTTGTTTAATTTTGATGATTACAAATGACAACAAATGAAAATCTCAAATTCATCATATCAGAAAATTAGAATATTGTGAAAAGGTTCAAAATTGATGGCCCCTGGTGCCACACTCTAATCAGCTAATTAACTCAAACCACCTGCAAAAGCCTTTAAATGGTCTTTCAGTCTAGTTCTATAGGCTACACAATCATGGGGAAGACTGCTGACTTGACAGTTGTCCAAAAGACGACCATCGACACCTTGCACAAGGAGGGCAAGACACAAAAGGTCATCGCTAAAGAGGCTGGCTGTTCACAGAGCTCAGTGTCCAAGCACATTAATAGAGAGGCGAAGGGAAGGAAAAGATGTGGTCGAAAAAAGTGTACAAGCAAGAGAGATAACCGCACCCTGGAGAGGATTGTGAAACAAAACCCATTCAAAAATGTGGGGGAGATTCACAAAGAGTGGACTGCAGCTGGAGTGAGTGCTTCAAGAACCACCACACACAGACGTATGAAAGACATGGGTTTCTGCTGTCGCATTCCTTGTGTCAAGCCACTCTTGAACCACAGACAGCGTCAGAAGCGTCTTGCCTGGGCTAAAGAGAAACAGGACTGGACTGCTGGTGAGTGGTCCAAAGTCATGTTCTCTGATGAAAGTAAATTTTGCATTTCCTTTGGAAATCAAGGTCCCAGAGTCTGGAGGAAAAGAAGAGAGGCACTTCATCCACGTTGCTTGAAGTCCAGTGTAAAATTTCCACAGTCAGTGATGGTTTGGGGTGCCATGTCATCTGCTGGTGTTGGTCCATTGTGTTTTCTGAGGTCCAGGGTCAACGCAGCCACATACCAGGAAGTTTTAGAGCACTTCATGCTTCCTGCAGCTGACCAACTTTTTGGAGATGCAGATTTCATTTTCCAACAGGACTTGGCACCTGCACACAGTGCCAAAGCTACCAGTACCTGGTTGAAGGACCATGGTATCCCTGTTCTTAATTGGCCAGCAAACTCTCCTGACCTTAACCCCATAGAAAATCTATGGGGTATTGTGAAGAAGAAGATGCAATACACCAGACCCAACAATTCAGAAGAGCTAAAAGCCACTATTAGAGCAACCTGGGCTATCATAACACCTGAGCAGTGCCACAGACTGATCGACTCCACGCCACGCCGCATTGCTGCAGTAGTACAGGCCAAAGGAGGCCCAACTAAATACTGAGTGCTGTACATGCTCATACTTTTCATGTTCATACTTTTCAGTTGGCCAACATTTCTATAAATCCTTTGTTTTTATTGGTCTTCAGTAATATTCTAATTTTCTGATATGATGAATTTGAGATTTTCATTTGTTGTCATTTGTAATCATCAAAATTAAACAAAATAAACATCTGAAATATATGAGTTTGTATGTAATGTATGAATATAATATACAAGTTTCACTTTTTAAATGGAATTACTGAAATCAATCTACTTTTTCATGATATTCTAATTTTATGACCAGCACCTGTATGTGACCTCCACATACGTATACACTCCACATACATAAACACTCATAATAGAGTTTATTTCTGCGTAAGCAGAGCAAATTGTTGCTGAAAGCATGACATGTTATGCAGAATTACTGAATGTTGCACAGTTTGTCTTTGCACTTCCAACACACCATGCAAGTGTTTTCTCACTAATCCTGGGTAAAGGATGAAAAACAATTTCTGTTGTGTCACAGAAGGGGGGTCAGCTTGTTGCAAAAACATATCAAAGGCAGTTTAAGCAAAGAGAAAGAAAAACAATTAAGTCAGATCAACAATGTTGCTCAAGTCTTTAGGTTCCCTAAAGAGAAAAGCTACAGAATGAAATATCAACGTTTTCTGTTTGATTAGTAAGTGTCTTTGTTTAATTTACATTAAAATAAAGAGAATAGAATACTTGAATTCTCTGAATATTTTCCATTTTTTGTTTGTTTGTACAGCGTGAATTTATATGTGAGCTTTCTATGTTGCAGGTTTTCTAATACATAATGATAATTACTTTTTTCATTGTTAAATTCTAGACATAGCAAGAAGGTTCCGGGTTTGATTCCTGGCTCAGGGTCTTTCTGCATGGAGTTTGCATGCTCTCCCTGTGCATGTATGGGTTCTCTCCGGGTACTCCGGCTTCCTCCCACAGTCCAAAAACATGACTGTTAGGTTAATCAGCTTCTCCAAATTCTCCTTAGGTGTAAGTGTTGGAATGGTTGTCTCTGTGTTGCCCTGTGACAGACTGGTGACCTGTCCAGGGTGTAACCTGCCTCTCGCCCATTGGCAGCTGGAGATTTTAAAGCCTTCTTTTACTTGATGACTTATCACATCATATCTGAGCGTTTGCCATTTGAAGCATTTTCAAGGTAGAACCCTTCTTCGAGTAAACACCTGGACCAAGTGTCCAGGTGTGAAACGTCCTATTTGCAAATGAAAATAGGAATGACTTTGATGCTTAGTTGAATCAAACTGTGCATCATTGTTTTCTGCTCCTAGTGCCTCACCGTCAGCCTGATACTCTGATGTTTTCTGCTTGTAGTCCTCTATGAGCAGAGAAGTATCACTGCAGCGGGCTTCACTGGACTGAGCCAACTGGTACAGTATGTCCACTGTTCTGCTGTTCACCTCGAACTGTGGCACCGGCTGGTCCCCGAACACCGCCCCCAACCAGCTGTTCACCTGCGGGGAAAACATTAACAAAAGACATTATCAACTAAGTGACCACCGTGTTAATAGATGTTCACCGAAGACTATAGATTACCTTCTTTATTTTGTCACTCATGATCGCAGGGAAGTGAAGCAAAGCCTAAAAACATCAACGACATTAAATGTTTTGATGCTGAAGCAACTCCCGGGATAAACAAGGATGGTTTTCGCGCTACTCCAACTAACTTCCTGGGTTTTAACCAATGAGAAGGCAGAGGGACTTCTTCGTCTTTATGGGGTTTTATTGGCGGTTGGCACGCAACGAAATAGTGCATTACCGCCACCAACTGGTATGGAGTGCGGATGGCAGAGCGACTGTAGCCAAGATTTTATTTTATAAAAATAAATTTTACAAGAAAACACACGCTATATACAATGGAATATAAACATTTTTGCAATTTTAGGAGAAAGCAGAAAACGTATTCGTTCCAAAAAGTTTATCCGGTTCACGTTTCCTCTGAGATAACAAAGATTGTCATGAAGTAAAGATAGTTCCTCCCAGAAGATTTAGAGCTTGAATTTTTTTTTTTTTTTTTTTATCTTTTTGTAATTTTGAAAGATAGAAAAAAACTCTACAGTTACAAAACTCAAAGTTACTATGTACAAATAGCTTGGCATCGGTAGTTTTGGATCATTCGGTTTTTATTTGTGACTTACTTGTACTCAACAATTTAAATAGGGTAATTTTTGTAACTGTTAGAAAAGTCAAAAACATATCTACAATCACGAAGCCTCTATTTTATTTAACTCTACAACTTTAAAATCGCAGTTGCAATATACAAATAAATATGATTAAAAATTGCCTTGATATCGATATAGTACGCTTTTTGGAAAATAATCGTAGGACAGAAAGACGAAAGCGGAAGTATTTTTAAGATTAACATCTGGATGTTTCCGGGTATTTGAACAAACCGCCAAAGTTCGAAAACACACTTCAGCCGAATTTGTGGGGGCTTCGAGAAATGGCAACGAAGAAAAAGTTAAGTGGAAGAATCCAACCAAACATAACTTTTGAAACATCCGGTATCGATTCTTCCGCCGTGGAGGAGAAACTCTTCGGGCGATCCGATCACGAAGCAGAAGAGGACGATGATAATCCTGCGGTTTTCTTCTGCGGGAAGTGCAAGCTGCCTGTCGGAGATTCCATGTCCTGGGAAGGAAGTGATGCTGGACCGAAACAAATAAGACTGAAGCGTGAGTCTGTTTAGTAGTAAGATGTATGATGTACCCAGTGCTTTAAAAATATGACTCTCTAAGCTGATCAGATGTGATTGAATGCTCTCTGGAATCAATGCAGGAGGTGGGAAACAAAAGTATCCTAACTAAATTAACATCTCTGTTGGATAATGTCTCCCACCCCGTGCATGAAGCTGCTGCAGAACTGCATAGCTCCTTCAGTGACAGACTGCTGCACCTTAAATGCACCAGGGAGCGTTATCACAGATCCTTCCTCCAAGCAGCTATAAGACTCTATAACAATCACTGTTCCCCAATACCTCATTAAGTTCTACATTCATGCTGATTTTGCAGTTTCTATCATAGTTAGGTTAAATAACACGCTGCTCTCATTTTGCTGCTATTTTCAAATATCCATTACTGTAAAAATGTCCATAGCTGTATATTGTTTTTTCATTCTCAAGATGCACAGTATTTATATTATTAAAACACTTTACAGTGCAGTATTTCAATTGTTTATTTTTCAACTCTTCACTATTATGTTATTCTCTTCATCCTCTGACATGGGAGTTGGAGCTCATCTGCCTGGCTGTGTGTTTCCTTTTATAGCTGCTTTTTCTATGTCTGCTTCTGTCTCCTTGAACCCCTGTCGGCCTCAGCAGATGGCTGCACACACTGAGCCTGTTTCTGCTAGAGGCTTCTTCCTGTTAAAAGAGAGTTTTTCTTCTCCACTGTCACTACAAGCATGCTTAGTGTGAGAGATTGCATTCGAGTCAATTAGTCGATGCAATCATCTGGCTTTTCTTAAATAGAAAACTTTCAATCAATTTGACTGTATGATCCGGTGAACTGTAAAGTGCCTTGAGATGTGTTGTCATGTGTTGTGAATTGGCGCTATAGAAATAAACTGAACTGAATTGAATTATTTTTCTTATAAACCTTTCTGAGGTCTGCATTTGTGTGACCATTTTTTGTTTTGCTGCTGTAGACACCAGAATTTAACTATTTATATAGTTAAAATACTTTACAGGATAGTATTTTATTTGTTTATTTTTTTTAACTCTTCACTATTATGTTAGTCTTATTTTTTCTATAATCTTTTTGCTGCTGTAAACACCAGAGTTTCCCCATTGTGACACATTAAAGGGATTTTTGATTCTATTCTATTCAATATTCTGAAAAATCTCTATCTATATCCATCTATCTACTGATCCTTTTAGTTTATTCATCACCTATTCAATCTTTTTCCATACATTCCATCCATTAACTGTTCCCAGGATTAAAAATTAATAACTGTAAATATTTCTTTGAGATAAAATCTTTTTGAATTCTTCTTTGTTGTGTAGAAGTAGTCTTAAAAGAATTGAAAACTCTGGAAACCTGTCAGGATCTGACTGCTGGACAGGAATCTGATTATTCCCCGATTCAGGATCCATTCGTGGACAGAAACATGATACGAGAGCTAAAACTGAATGGAAAGCAAAAACAAAGTGTTGTATGATTTTAAAAAAGAAACAAAAAAAACCCAAAAAGAAAAACACAGTTGACCACTGATGATAATCAAGGTCATGTTCTAGTTATGTGGATGCAGAGCTGCAGGACGCTGCTAATATGTTTATTGTTGCGGTTCCAGGTGTTACCAACAATGTCATCGTTGGAAAGGAGACACGCGTACTTGAACTGAGTAAACGTTCGGTTTGGTAAGAAGGTTTATACTTTCTACTTTAACTACATTACTTATGTAATCTAAGTAGAGATGCAATGATCCAATGCTCAGATCGGATATCGGCTCCGATATCGACTCATTAGCTGGACCAGATATCGGATGAATGACGCCGATCCAGCATTCCCATCCAGTCATTTCTGTCTGATGATTTCAACGCTGATCACATCATCCTGCAGATCACACACAGCAGCTAGAGATGCTTTATATCAGCGATCATTTGTTAACTTTAAACTAAAAAGAAGTAGTTTTTTTCTAAGGTTCATATTTGTGTGACCATTTTTTTGAAAAAAAAAAAAAAGATTCTGCTCTGAACAACAGAATTTCCCCATTATGGAACAATAAAGGGATATTCTATTCTACCCACATAGCAAGTTATATGGTTAACTCCTTCCAGAGTAGTATTGCATTGTGTCAGATATCGGTATCAGATTTGATCAGTAAAAAATGGATCGCTGCATCTCTAATTCTAAAGTGTTCTCAGTTTTTGAGGTTTCTGGTATAAAACTCAAGAAAAAAAACAAATTATTCTTAAAATTAAACATATCTAAAATTCCCCTTTCTGTCACCAACTTGATGTCTGAAGCTCAACTTCTTAAATCAACCAGTAGAACATGACATAGTTAATTTTTCCAAGCTTTATAGATATTACAGTTGAATGATAACAGAGATTTTAAAACACTTAACTATTATGTATTGGATAAATCTATTCACTTTTTAAACTTTTGTAACTATTCTATCTATATGAATTAATTCTATTTACAGGTGCTGGTCATAAAATTAGAATATCATGAAAAAGTAGATTGATTTCAGTAATTCCATTTAAAAAGTGAAACTTGTATATTATATTCATACATTACATACAAACTCATATATTTCAGATGTTTATTTTGTTTAATTTTGATGATTACAAATGACAACAAATGAAAATCTCAAATTCATCATATCAGAAAATTAGAATATTGTGAAAAGGTTCAAAATTGATGGCCCCTGGTGCCACACTCTAATCAGCTAATTAACTCAAACCACCTGCAAAAGCCTTTAAATGGTCTTTCAGTCTAGTTCTATAGGCTACACAATCATGGGGAAGACTGCTGACTTGACAGTTGTCCAAAAGACGACCATCGACACCTTGCACAAGGAGGGCAAGACACAAAAGGTCATCGCTAAAGAGGCTGGCTGTTCACAGAGCTCAGTGTCCAAGCACATTAATAGAGAGGCGAAGGGAAGGAAAAGATGTGGTCGAAAAAAGTGTACAAGCAAGAGAGATAACCGCACCCTGGAGAGGATTGTGAAACAAAACCCATTCAAAAATGTGGGGGAGATTCACAAAGAGTGGACTGCAGCTGGAGTGAGTGCTTCAAGAACCACCACACACAGACGTATGAAAGACATGGGGTTCTGCTGTCGCATTCCTTGTGTCAAGCCACTCTTGAACCACAGACAGCATCAGAAGCGTCTTGCCTGGGCTAAAGAGAAACAGGACTGGACTGCTGGTGAGTGGTCCAAAGTCATGTTCTCTGATGAAAGTAAATTTTGCATTTCCTTTGGAAATCAAGGTCCCAGAGTCTGGAGGAAAAGAAGAGAGGCACTTCATCCACGTTGCTTGAAGTCCAGTGTAAAGTTTCCACAGTCAGTGATGGTTTGGGGTGCCATGTCATCTGCTGGTGTTGGTCCATTGTGTTTTCTGAGGTCCAGGGTCAACGCAGCCACATACCAGGAAGTTTTAGAGCACTTCATGCTTCCTGCAGCTGACCAACTTTTTGGAGATGCAGATTTCATTTTCCAACAGGACTTGGCACCTGCACACAGTGCCAAAGCTACCAGTACCTGGTTGAAGGACCATGGTATCCCTGTTCTTAATTGGCCAGCAAACTCTCCTGACCTTAACCCCATAGAAAATCTATGGGGTATTGTGAAGAAGAAGATGCAATACACCAGACCCAACAATTCAGAAGAGCTAAAAGCCACTATTAGAGCAACCTGGGCTATCATAACACCTGAGCAGTGCCACAGACTGATCGACTCCATGCCACGCCGCATTGCTGCAGTAATACAGGCCAAAGGAGGCCCAACTAAATACTGAGTGCTGTACATGCTCATACTTTTCATGTTCATACTTTTCAGTTGGCCAACATTTCTATAAATCCTTTGTTTTTATTGGTCTTCAGTAATATTCTAATTTTCTGATATGATGAATTTGAGATTTTCATTTGTTGTCATTTGTAATCATCAAAATTAAACAAAATAAACATCTGAAATATATGAGTTTGTATGTAATGTATGAATATAATATACAAGTTTCACTTTTT